CGAAGTGCAAAAGAAACATACTTCGAAAACAAATCCCCTCCTCCTAAGTGCCCTTTCTATTGAGGTTGGCGATCAATATGGCAAATTTCTCTCTGTTCTGGGCTTGATGGATTAAGTCATTTCCTGTTGTCTGAGTCCAATCCCTGATGTTTCGGAGCCAGGATTTCTTCTTTCTTCCTATACCTCTTTTACCCTCGATTTTGCCTTCTAATATTAGCTGGAGCTGCTCAAATTCCTTATGGCGCATTATGTGTCCTAGATATGACGTCTTTCTAATTTTGATTGTATTAACCAGATGATGTCGTGTGTTCATTATTTCCAGTACCTCTTCATTTGTACTTTTGCTGGTCCAGCTTATTCTTAGCATTCGGCGGTACTTATGGTTAATAAATAAAATAAAATAAATAAGAGTTGATAAAAATCTGTTTATCAATAATTTGGATAAAATAGACAGATACAAAGATTATATTAAGAAACTATTTAATGATAAAAGGCCAAATCTTAAACTTAAAGAAATAGTGACTAGACTTGACGAAATTGAACGAGAAATATGGAACCGGAACAGTCAACTTTTCATAGAGGTATTAGCCTACTAATAATCAAGCCGATTTGCTTATAGCGAGCAATAAGACATTTCCATCACAAACAGGTATGAAATAAATGTGAACCTACATATAAAGCCAAATGATCAAATGGAGCTTATGAGAGAAGGTTTTTCATCAGTTTAGAAGAACTATAAACGGCATTGGAAAAGGAATAAAGCAAAAATAAAGAATAAAAATAATTAAACTCCAGGTGATTTAATCGTAACACTATTCCAATGGTTAAGAAAGGTTCCTACTGTAAAACATATAAGAAATTCAATATATTCCGAACTCTTTATCAGTCAAATCAAAATTTAAAAATACTCCATCAAAAGGTTAAACAGCTTTAAAATTAACACTTAAAACATTCACTATTAATCGAATTGAAATAGCGTTATCAATAAAACAATATTTGTCTAATAAACATTGATAATTAGTATCAAAATATTTTCACTCTATCATATCGGAGATTTCCAGTGACGTTACGCAAAATATTAAAATGGGGAAGCTCCCGGCTGTATACCATAGTAGTTAAAAATTTTTACAAAGAAATAAAATCTTTTACCGTAATTACCCAGCAGTGAATGTGTTTAAATTACAAACTTTACTTGCTTATGACGTTAGAGATATTGTTCTCTAATTACTAAAATCTAATGGGGTTATTATAGATTGGAATAAACACGGCTTTGATGGCTAGTTAGTTATCCTGTATGTCATATCTCTTCACATATTGTGTGAATGAGGTTGATTTCGTTTTTTCCGATGCCTTTATTAATATTAGAGACAAAACTAGTCTATATAATGGTACACAAAAACTAAAAAGGGAGATACGTAATATACAAAATTCAACAATTGATTCCTTTTTAAATAATTTAACAGCTGACCAGAACACAGATTATTCGTTGTGGAAGGCAACAAAAAAAATGAAGAGACCAATTATTCATTCTCCTCCTATCAAGTTGGAAAACAGTCAAACCCAACGACTCTGATGGTGAAGAACTGAGATGGGAAGAACCATTCCAAACTGAAGAAAGAATAACGTTGACATCATTAAGAGAAGTATCAACAGAGACAAAAGAGAATATAAATCATAAGAAAGCGCCAGGATATGATCTCATAACAGGCGAACTATTAAAAAATCTGGAAGTCTGGAAAGGCTACTTTCCAGACTCTGGAAAGTAGCCAAAGTCATTATGATCGCCAAACCATTTAAAAAACTTCTGTTGAATAGATTAAAACCAATAATAGAAAGAAAAAATGATATACCAAATCATTAATTTGGTTTCAGAAATAAACATTCCACTATAGATCAAGTTCACAGAATAACGAATATAATAGAAAAAAACATTAGAAGAAATGAAAGTCTGCTCTAAAATCTTCTTGAACGTAACACAGGTGTTTGATAAAGTCTGGCATAAGGGTTTAAACTATAAACTAAGAACGTTCATGTCTAAACAGTATTCAGAAATATTAGATTTATACATTGTGAATAGATATTTTATAGATTATAGAAAGATCAAAGCTGGCTAGCCACAAGGGAGTAGATTAGGTTTGGTCTCATACCTATTGTGTACGTATGACATTCCAAAGCTAGAACTAAACACTATTGTTACCTTCGCAAGTGATACAGCCATACTAGCGATAGGCGACATTATTAAAGAAACGACTGATAAGTTGCAACTATCAGTAAATATAATACATACCTGGACCAGTAAATGGCGAATAAAATTAAATGAGACTAAATCTGAATATATTGACTTTACAAATAAAAAAGATATTGACTTTACAAGTAAAAAATTTTCAGTTAGAATAAATGCCAAGTTCCTTGGACAACATCAGCAAAATACTTGGGCATCACCAGTCCATGTCAAAAAAAAGAGGAAAGTTTTATTAATATTAGTTGTAAGAAATTGTATTGGCTGATTGGGAAAAATTCAACATTATTGATTTATAATAAATTATCCATTTACAAGCAGGTAATGAGACCAGTATAGGTATATGGTTACCAACTCTGGGGTTGTACCAAAGTTAATAATCTACATATTATCCAGGGATTTCAAAACAAAGTACTGAGGAACATTGTTAATACTTCTTGGTATATCTGTAACAGCAGGACCTGGGTATGGAAGCTGTGACCGAAGTAATCAAGAGAATAGCAGCAAGTCACGAGCAGAGGCTGCATAGTCATGTAAATGTCGAGGCAGTCCAGCTTCTTGACAACACTAAACTAAAGAGAAGACTTATAAAGACAAAACCATTTGAGTTAGTATAGCTGTGTAACAGTTTAGTGTAAAAAGCAGAGTATAGTGATGTGAAAAGAAGAGTAGGCTATAGGGTAAGCCTTTAGTATCTGCTGTTTATTAAATTATTTATGGTAACCCGTTTTATTTTCTTTAATTTCGTCATACTTTTTAGGGAAATTTTAGGAAAAAATAACCAGACCGACTTGTAACTGTTCATTTAGCTGCCAAATCTTGGCCAGGCGCTGTTTGTAACCATTTACTCTATAGATTATCAACTATTGTTTTGTTAGTTTAGGATTTTTTGGTACCACCCATTTACAAGAGTATTAGTCTATCCCCTACCTGACACGCCTTCGATTTGCGAATATCAACCGTAAACTAATTTTTTACTGCTCATTTTATGCTACCCTTCAGACCGCTCGTAAATTAAAGGAAGAAATATATTTAAACCGAACATAAACTTGCTTTTTGACATTTTCAGCGATGCACTAAAGATATTTTACAGCAGAAAACTCTAATTAAAATTATGTAGTTTCGCAATTAAACAAACTTGTTTTTATAAATAAAACATACCTAAAGCTTTAAATTCACGTGTACGGTGCAGATTATTTCTCGGAGTGTGTATTAATTACGTAAGTACGTACATCTACGGGAACATAAACAGTCCTAACAAGACATAAATACCTAATTAAATTTAATTAAATATTTACAAGAATGGCTGCAGATGAACTTCACGTGTCAAGAATTATGTATTAAAAAAAAACGATTGGTTGACTAAATACTAAATTAATTAGTTTGCTCATTTTACGAATTCATGGAAGGCCGCAGGGCTTGCTTAAGACAAACTTAAATAAATTTTTGATCGTATGTCGTATAAACATTTTTAATTAATTCATCAAGGAAAAATATATTGTACTGTGTTACGTATATATTGTTATGTAAATAAAATTAAATAAAACTAAGACAAAAATAAAAAAGTTTGAGAAATTAAAAGAAATAGGTAGATGATGATAAATTGACATGATAAACATGATAAATTACTTCGAATATCTGAAAGAAACTCATACAAAATCTTAAAAAAAAACTTGTATTCAAAACTTAATTAATTTTAAAAATAAAAATTAATGGGAAAATCCCAGTAAGGTGAAGTGGGGTAAATGTGATCTACTTTTTGATTAGTTCAACTTTCATTTAATATAACACTTTAAGGAAACGTTTCAAAAATTTATCAAAAACTTCATATACTCTTTGAATGGTTTTGTATTCATTGTGTAGAAAAAAATTAAATAATCTTTAGTGTTGGTAATGTTGCATAATATTTTTTAAAATCATATCAATACATCACATTTACCCCATGGACCGTGGCAAATATGAAGAAAATTAACATTTTTGTAGTAAATATTATATTTGATAGTCTGGGGTTATTGTATAAAAATGTGATTAAAGCTCTCTACTTGTGTTTTTTTAGAATTTATTAAGTTGAAAAAATACAAAAGAATTTAAACTTTTCGAAAACAATGTCAGAACAAAGGAAACAAAAATATAATAAAATTAAACAAACACTCCAAGTTTTCTTTCAGTTTGACAGGCTTGACAGGTTATTGGGTACCTAAATGACGTTGATATTCCATTATTAAAGTGGCCACCTAACAGTCCGGACATGAATCCTATAGAGCATCTATAGGACTATTTAAAAAAGATTCGAAGTCGTAGACTCCCTATTACCAATCACAACCAACTCATTGAGGCCGTTATTGAAGAATGGGAGAATATTCCGCAAGCTCTTGTTGAACATTTGGTATCAAGCATGCCTAGACCCATAAATGCAGTCATAAGAAGTAGAGGAGGGCCTACACGGTATTTTTTAAAGAAACAATAAGGCAAATTAAGGTCATGATAAAGTCATGTTGGACTTATTTGTAGGTGTTTATTATTATTTCAATATAACTTAGCTTTATTTTGTGTTCATATTATAATTATTTAGATTAATTAAAGTGGTAAATAATTTAATTCCGTAAGTGAATTTCACCTTATTAAATCGTTAAATTTTAAACAATAGTCAAATTTTAAATATTATAATAAATCTATAATAAAAAATATTAATATTTTCTATATGCATACGATTTAAGTACGCCACTGAAATTGTTTTTATACCGTAACTCTTTCGACCTTGTGCGAACAGTAGTTCATATTAACTTAATTCTCATCGAATTAAGAGACCTAGCCTAAGATGGCATTAAAATGGGGTGTAGCGGGCGCAGGAAGAATTTCCCACGATTTTGTGACTGCCGTTCAAACATACCCCAAAAGTGATCATGTATTTACAGCAGTTGCCGCTCGGTCTAAAGCCAGTGCTGAGAAATTCGCTAAGGATCATTCGATTCCTCAGTCTTACGAAGGATATTTAGGATTAGCGCAGGATAAGAATGTTGGTAAGTAAATGTAGATACTACAACTTTTTGGTAATACAACCGCCGGAGAACTTAGGTATCTGTCAAGTTTTTTGAATTTTATGATTCTTATTTATTGTTTAAATTATTAAAAAATTGAGGCCAAAAATGCATTCTTCGTTCAACAGGAAAATGTAGAGCATTTTACATCCAATTTCAGTAAATGTGTGAGGAAATAATGCCATTATCATTGTCTTTTTATTTTCTAATATATTTCTAGCCATCGAAAACCGACTAGCATTTCATCGACTGTAGTATTAGCACCTAGTACATACGAATTTTGAGAATTTTGGTTAAATATCTTTGAAATGTGGGAAATTGAGGCAGCTGGATCAATTTTAGCTCGATTCACTCTTTCTTTTCGTGTATCAAATCGTAGGCATATTAGCAGCACAGCAAATCTACGTGATGAGAATGCCATTCTAAATATTTTTCTCCGTACCATCAGTAGCAAACAGTGCGTTGATGTCTACATGGTTAGACTTGAAGACTGATGTCAATAACAGAAGGCCCAAAAATCCTTTTATCTCTGTATTATTGGTCTCTCTATATTCTGTCTCTGTCGCGATATTCCCTCAGTTTCACATTTGTGTAATATACAACAATATCAACAACATCTCTAGGAAAAATTTTAACCACGCCACCACTGGATCCATCTGTGTCAAAGATCCTTTGATAGTAGGCAATCTCAATAAATTATACGCAGGTGGTCTAACATTAATATAAGAGAAACGGCTAATCTGGCAACATTGCAAATATCAAATATGGAATCTCCGCATCCCAAAATAGGTGTACCTCAAATTTTGTACAATTATGACTGGCAATTTACGAGATAATTGACGTTTCCTAACTTTTGGGCCACTCTGTACATAAAACTTTACATTACTTACTTTCTTATATGTTTTTGATTTTTTATTTGAACTTCACTTAATTATAGATTATCTTGAAGATCATGTATTTATATTTATTTCTTCTTTTACTGTACAATTGCAGATATTGTCTACGTTGGCAACCTCAACCCTCAACATTTTGAAACAGCTAAGATGATGCTGGAGCACGGCAAACACGTCTTGTGCGAAAAACCTTTTACTATGAATGAGAAACAAACAAGACGATTGTATCAAATAGCACAAGAAAAAAAATTGTTTTTAATGGAAGCCATATGGTCCAGATTCTTTCCAGCAACGATGGAAATGAAGAGACTTATCGATAGTGGAGCTATTGGAGAGGTATTGCATGCTTCTGTTCATTTTGGACATCAGATAGACCATGTTGATAGAATTACGTAAGTTTTACAGTGAAGTGGGTGGTTTAAACTTTGCCACACTCAAATCTTTAACTGTTTTTTTGGATCTGTTTACGAGAATGTTCTGAAAATTTAAATGCAGATTTATATTTCATCTTAAACAAATAAGTTTCACGGTAGAAAAAGTTTAACAAACATTGCTGAAGATTCAGATCTGAATTCTGCTACCAGAAAAAGCAAATTCAACCCCATGATTTCCATTACGCAGTTTTAATCTTGGACCCACTTCTCAAAACAATGATTGTCAGGTATTTCATCGGAATATCTAGGTCAGTAAAGTAACACATTACAGTAAAACCAAAATGTTGGTTAATCGTAAGAGTGGCTGCATTTTTTCCTTTAAAATAAAAATTCTGTATATTTTAACAAACGTTTTACACTAAGGTTGACTTGGAAACACATTTAAAGTAAAAAAAGATAAAAAAGCTTCCTGTATGCGGTTAAGTAGTAAAAATCGTCTAGGGTTTAAAATTATTCGGGCTGCAGCACCTGTGAGAATGTGAGTAAAACTCTATAACTTCCACTCGGTTGTCCTACATCCGCGAATTATATTGTTGAAACCCTGCCTCAAGCCTTAGCTACAGTCCTTTTAGCGACAGCCTCCGAAATGTACGAGACAATTCGGAACTTTATTGCCAGATCTTTTAAAAAGGGGAATTTTTCACAGAATAGGGAAGTAAAAGTGTTTTAGTTTAGGGCAATATGTTGTTCTCTTCGGAATTAACATAATGTCTGTATCACAGTAACACTCTAAAAATAAAGCAAATTCTTCATTTTATATTTCGGTATTTTTCCAAATTGATAAATAGGTTAGATCTTAAATAATTAGTTTTTGAAGTACTGATATTTTATACAAGTATAGTTGCAGTAAGACATATAGTAGAACGTTTAGATTTGTAAGTAGGGAGTTTAAATTTTTTTTAATTCAGCAAAAAATGCAAGCATGCCCCCGCTCTTTTTTTATTTATTTCAAAAATACAAAATCTAAAAATATAATAATTTGTTAACTCTTTAACCCGCAAGTTTATTATAATGAACTTTTTTCTTAAATCATGATGAATGTGTTGCTTGTGTGAGTCCATTTCAAATAGGTAAAGAAATAATAAATAAGACTTACTCACAATCAATTTATTTTAACTATCAGACGACCGGTTTTGCTTTCTACAATATGCAAAGCATCTTCAGGTCTCGATACAAAGTTAAATAAATGCTGAAATGATAAAAACCCATATTAGGGTGTTGTCTAATAAAGATAAACAAAGTAGATGTGGTAAATTACAATAATTATGCCAATATTACATGTCTGTGGTTTTATTTCAAAAAGAGTAAGTTGAATAAAAAGGTATAAAAAGTTTTAAAAGTTTAAACAGACAAGATAAGGCCCACAAATTGTTATAAAATAGTCTATTAGATTGTAATAAATTAATAAATAAGCAAATAAATAAACAATACTTACATGCCGGTACTCTATTAACTGATGGATGGTAGAACATGGTTGAAACTACTATGTATTGTTGAATGGAGAACTCCATTCTGCTATTGTAGTTGTTTGACAGTAAAAGGGAAGTTCTTGAGGAGATAGATTTGATCCAATGAAGCAGAGATATGTGTGTGATTGTTTGTTAAATGAAAGTGATGTAATATACCATTGTATTATTAGAAGTTATTTATACTTATTCGAGAGATATATTTATGAAATGTGTGTTATTTATTGAGTAATTGTTTTATGAAGGTGACAGTTTTATGACAATGAATAAGTTTAGATGTACAAATTGTGTGGGTGTGCAATTATTTTTCAAGTCAAAAGAAAAGGCAAAAAAGTATTTTTTTAAAGTGTGTATATTTTTAATAATTCCTAGCTGAGCGCTTTCGGCTTTAAAAAGCCATCATCGGAGCTATGGTCAATTTATAAATACCACTACAGTGGAGAGATCTCATTTCCTTATATGTTGAAATATTGATTTTTTATTTAATTACTTAGTTGTTAAAATTCTTAAAAAAACATATAAAAAAACCGACACTGGACTTCACAGACACATTAAAAAATTATATATATAAATTATATATTATATTGTGGTGGTATTTATAAATTGACCATAGCTCCCATGATGGCTTTTTAAAGCCGAAAGCGCTCAGCTAGGAATTATTAAAAATATACACACTTCAAAAAAATACTTTTTGCCTTTTATTTTGACTTGTCATAAGTGTGTACAAAAAACATATCAGTCTTTTGATTATTAATTATTTTTCAACTTGTAGTTATCAAATTTCTTTGATAAAGTTCTATTGGCAAAATAGTAGATTATTGCAAAGTCAAGTAAATAAAATATTAGAATTAAAACAATTAAGGACAATTTAAAACACACTAAAACAGAAAACACTTAGAAGGGACGAAACAAACATTCAATTTAAAAGGGGGAAGGACTTTTATACACTACATCTCAGTCTTGGGCACAATGAGTTTTTTATGTGTTATCTATTAGATTTTAGTGGTAAATTTGACAGATGTAGGTTAGCATGTGACAGTTCTTCTTCTGTTTCTCAATACTGCAAGTTAAACTTAATGAACTTAAACTTAATGAACTTAAGTTTTTTCAAATAGTTTGGTATATTATACTTAGTACATCAATTACTAGATTTTGAATATTTTAATAGAATTTCCATACTAGTTTCTCTGGTAGATAAGGTGTATGATGCAAATGACCAACATTTTAAAAATTCTCCATGTTAAATGGCCTTTTGAGATATAGCTTTTTTTCTACTGTGACTTTGCCTAAGAGATTCTTTATAAAGTATGTAAGAATTTACTATGGATGCGGAAAAATAAAATATCTTCATCCATCATCAACGACTTTTCCAAGCTACTTACTGAGTATGTCTGCATTCGTTGCTTAAACCGATCAACACCGCCCATATGCGTATTGTAGTCTACAATGGCTTGAGGACAGCGGATGTTTACTCGTTCTCCAGTTTTTAATGTTCTAAAAACAAAACCAGTTTCTGCATGATTATGCATATTGCTGCAGACGGTCACATTTTTTTAATCACGATCCTTCCTTCTTCTTCTTTGAGTGCCTCTCCTATCGGAGATTGGATATCATTATGGCGATTCTAATTTTATTAACTGCTGTTTTGAATAATTCCTTCCTTCTTAAATTCCTCATCCAGGACATTCTTCTACGGCCTGGATTTCTGCGTCCTTGGATCTTTCCTTGCATTATATTTTGTAGGAATGTGTACTTTTGTCCTCTCATCAGGTAGCCTAAGTATTCAAGTTCTCTCTTTTTTATATTCATAATAACTTCTGGATCGTTATTTATTCTACGATCCTTCCACTTACTTATAAATACTAATTTTGAAAATACCACACTTTCCCACAACAAAACACCGAAGTATCTGGACGTAACACTAGACAGAACGCTATCATTTAAAGAGCATTTAAGAAAAACTGCCCAAAAGTTGAGTACAAGAAATAACATTATACAAAAGCTCTTCGGTACCAGCTGGGAAGCATCAACTTCCACTCTACGCTCTACTGCTTTAGCCCTTGTTTTCTAGACCGCTGAATATTGTGCTCCAGTTTGGCTACATAGTTCACACGTAAAAAAGGTCGACACTCAGCTGCACAGCAAGCACTATGAGGATAATAGCTGGTACAATTAAATCAACTCCCACCCAATGGCATCCAGTATTAAGTCACATTCCACCTCCACATTTACGACCAGTTGACGCACTTACACGTGAATATAGAAAGATCATAAACAATATAAACCTGCCGATCCACCAAGATACCGAGGATGCACGAAATACCCGTCTACGTTCTAGAAAACCACCAATGAAAACGGCAAGAATGATACATGAGGAGTTCAACATCACGAATGCATGGTCCCAAGAATGGAACGCATGACAAAATAACATACCTTGTATTACCCTCAAGCCACCAGGTTTTGATCTTCCACGTAAAACATGGTCCATTCTAAATAGGATTCGTACCAGACTTGGCAGATGTGCATTCTTCTTCTTCTGGTTCCTATCCGTTTCGGATGTTGGAAATCATATTGGCAATCATAACCTTGCTCGCTGCGGCTCGAAACAGCTCCGTTGAGGTTTTCTTAAACCATGTTCTTAAATTCCGCAGCCATGATATTCTCCTTCTACCTGGTCCTCGCTTACCTTTGACTTTACCTTGCAATATAGACTGCAGCAGGGAGTAACGGTGCTGATTTCTCATAACGTGTCTCATATATTGCAATTTTATGCGTTTGATCGTAAACACAATCTCTGGTTCCTTCTTCAGATGTGCATACCTGCTACATAAATGGGGAAAGAATCCGTCTCCTCAATGTACTGTGGAGAGAACCAAACGATCTACCATATTATTGAAGAGTGTCCCTCAAGATCCTACAATGGTAGCCCTGAAGACTTCCTGTTTGCAACTTCAGAGTCAATTGAATTTGATTGATTATATTAATACACTTGATGTTTGTTCATCCATTTTCATTTTTCTGTCATCTACTAAATGTGCTTTTAAAAGATATTTTCGTGTTTGTCTAACTGTTCCACTACCAAAATGGCCTAGTTCTGATAACTTATCATAAGAGGAAGTATGGTAAAAAAATTGTCAAAGTACTAGCAGTATCCTCTTTTTTCCAACACTAATTAAATTTGGTATAACTCTGTCCCCTAGATATACATCCCCCTAGAAATACATGTCCTCTATTTATACCCCTCTTTATGGGATTCATTGGCATGTACTGTTTTAAAGTAGTTCTTCCTTTAAAGGCAGTTATCTTCTTCTTAACGTGTCCTATCAAGTCCCCTTGACGTTGGCGATTAACATGGCGAAACTGTCTCTGTCTCGAGCTATTCTAAATAGTTGCTCAGCTTTCTTTATTCCTGTCCACTCCCTGATATTCTTCAACCAAGAGGCCTGCTTTCTACCAATTCCTCTGCTTCCTTCGATTTTACCCATCATAATAAGTTGAAGAATATTATATCGGTCTCCCCTTACTACGTGTCCAAAATAGGACATCTTTCTACATTTGATGTTATCAAGCAGCTCACGAGCAGCATTTGCTTTCTCAAGGACTGCCACATTTGTCAGCATAGCCGTCCATGGAATTTTTAGTATACGTCCGTGCAGCCACATTTCAAAGGCCTCCAGACGATTAATGGTGGATATTTTTAATGTCCATGCTTCGACACCGTATAAGAGGACTGACCAAATGTAGCATTTAACCATGCGCTTTCGAAGTTGAAGTTGCAAGTTATCATTACAGAAGAATGACCTCATTTTTAAAAATGTCGTGCGAACTATCTCGATTCTACATTTTATCCCTTGATCTGGATCTAGTTGTATTGAATCTAGTAGTCTAGCACTTATACTTTCATCAATTGAAATATTTTTGCTCGAAAAAACAATTCCATAAAGGTTTTTTAAAATTTTTGAATAAGGAGTCTCACTTTGTACATGTCAAATTCCCGAGTTCCTGTGGTTAGCATTTGTTGGTTATCATTCAAATGGATGTATCTTATATTTTTTTAAATAGATATTTTGAGAAACCTCTTTAGAGGAAAAATATTAGTGATCCTTTTATTATGAAAATTTGAATCTACAGACCAGTATTTTTTTAAAGAAGGTAAACTATTAAATCTCATTAGAATTCAAATTCCTAGGAAAGCTTTCAATTATTCAAAGGAAAAATCTAAATTTTTTTGGCTTGAACAGCATATAAATTTGACTATTCTGTAATGTATTGTAGTAAGGTGTCTTTCAAAAAAACAATAAAGGAACTTACTGGGTCTTCAGAAGACGGTATCACTTTTGAACCCTTGAATTCTGCATAATTACAATTTTTAAATTCAATAGATATTCTTGGTTCTTTAGACCACCCCTTAAAATCATTGGTAACATCGAAAATTGCTTCATCTTCAGGTGTGATTGCTGATGGTGTGTCAGGTTCTACTACAGAGTTTTCTTCAATCTAGGAATCTTTAGCTTGATCATCCATTATTTCATGTTATATTTTGGCTAACTGTTCAGTTGTAAAGCCCCTCTTCCTATACTGTATATCAGAATAGTTTTCGGACATCTGAAAAAAGTGTGCATGTAGGGGTATACTATAAAATATTGCTCAGCTCAAATAGATTGGTTTATAATGTACGTGGAAAACGATCAACACAAAAAAATAAATTAATTTAGCATATTTTTGATGTTTATAAATATGTATATTATAGAAGAAAATTTAAGCTAACATTTCTCTAAAATATCACATTCAAAATAATTTTTAATTTTCTTCACTTTTGATATATATTTTTTATTTATTATAGAGCAAAGGATCTTGGAGGCGGAGCCATTTTAGATCTCGGCATCTACATCCTGCAATTCCAGCAGTACGTCTTCAGAAATCTTAAACCAGTCAAAATAGTCGTCAACGGACACGTTAACAAATTCGGAACAGACGATTTATGCGGAGCTGTTATTACATACCCAGAAGGAAAAATGGCTATCGTAAGTACATCAACTCGGTTAAAACTACCCAACGAAGGAATTGTGGTTGGGACTAAAGGAACACTGAGGCTGCCTGACTTTTGGTGTCCTGATAAGCTGATAATGCCTGACGGTAGTGTTAAGACGTATCCGCTTCCAGTAAGTTCAGTGCCTTTCTTACATCATAATAGCGCTGGTCTATGTTATCAAGCTGAGGAAGCAAGACAGTGCATTAAGAAAGGTAAAATATTATTATTTTCTTATTTCAGATTTGAACTACTTTTTTTACCTTAACCCTTTCACTGCGGTAATAATATATGAATGTAGACCTGTGCGGAAATATTTTTTTGCGTATTTTCAAATATGATTTATGAATTATGTGAAAGAAATCGGTTGGTAATCTACTGCTGATGGCCATTTTACTTACTTTTTGTTAGACGCGAATTCGCGTCCTCCGCACATTTTTGTAAATTTTTTATAAACTGCGGAAAGCGCGAATTCGCGGCCCAATAAAAGTTAATAAAAACTAATTATGCTTCACCGAATTTATTTTGTAGCTCAAAAATATTGTGTCAAGGTATAATACTAACAAGAAATATGCAAACTTATTTTTTATTAAAAAAGATACAAAAAAAAATAGAAATTTATATCAAATAATATAAAAACAATAGTAAATAATACGTAAAATTCAACTAATTTCCATTATGGTATTCAACAAAACATGCACCCATACATAGTCCGGGGTGGTCTGGACAACAAAGACAGTGAAACAAAGTGTCTTTTCATAGATGTTTTCTTGTGCAGATACGGCATTTTTTACGCATGGTGTGCGTTTTAGTAAGCATATGTTTTGAAATTTTCACGTTACTTATAGTTACTGATTTGAGTTCTGGTAACAACCTTTTTAAAACTGACCTTCTAAATTTACCAAGACTCATTGTTTAATTGTGCTACTTATTATATAATATATGTGAATGAATCATCATCATTTGAAAAATGTGGATTCCTAATTTCTGGTACCAACGTAAAGTCTTTTGAATTACTGGATAGTACGCCATTTGTTGATCCCGATGATCTACACCACCCATATACTTATTATATTTGACGATATGTTGTGGTTTTTCCTTTTCAACACCTCTTTGATTCGTCACTATCATCATACGATCAATATGTTATCGAGATACCTAGCTTGGCTTACACCTTTCTTTAATTTCGCACGAATAACTTCGTTTAGAAAACCCTTTCTATCTTTACGTAGCTTTCCCGTGCAGTAAGTCTTTCAATCCAGTAACATTTTTACCAACTGGAAACTATTTTAATAGTTATCCATGAAAACTGAGTGGCCTTTGTCTAAGTAATCGCTCAGTAAATGCATTACTACTTTTTTTTGTATAGTCTTTACCTCCTAACAAGTCACGTTCGCCACCGCAAACAATAAATTTCAAAATAAGTCCACTGGGTTCCGATAACATATAGAGTTTGATTCCATTTTTGTGGCGATTATTGGGAAGATATTGTTTGAAGATACGTCTTCATTTCCAAAAGACCATTGACTCATCTAACGAAAGTTGTCTGTTGGGATAGTAAACTTTCTTCATCACATTGTTGAAATTTTCTATTACAGGTTTAATTTTAAAAAGACGATCTTCGGGGATTTGATCACCTTCCATCCAAGTTGTACAAAAATGAAAACAACGCATAATTAATAAATACCTGTCTCTACTCATGTAGTTTGAAAAACAAGTTGTTAATAGTCTCTGTTTTTTCCATCGAGCAAAAAGACAAAAGAGGGAATCTAATCCTTATGAAAAGGAGACCAAAAAGTGGCCTCTGATGGCGGACATATCCGGAAATGCGAATGCGCCAAATTTAAATTTTCCGACACTTATCAACAGTAGTTATATAATATTTTTCAGAATGTATCTTAGACGAGAAAGTTTTAATTAATTATTAACGATAATAGTCTAAAATGCCATACAATTGTTGAAAAACTTCAATATAAATAAGATTTCATGTGACATTTGGGTCAAACGATAACATAACCCAACTAAATTTCATGTCAAACAAGGAGAGAGACTCTCTTTCCTTGTTTAATGTGACCTCTAAAGATTGCACTTCCTGTCTAACAATATGTTTGCCCCCACTACCTTTACATTCCCTCTTTTGTCTTTTTGCTCGATGGTTTTTTCCAACTCTTTTACTGTCAGTTCTTTCCATTCAGTGATTCTCGATCCTACAGATCCTTTACTAGTAGCCAGTACTTGAATACCATAGTTATTACATTCACTCACTACAGTTTCTAAAAATACATCATTGATTAGCATCCTAAACCAGTCATATGGTTCGTCACCAGGAGATTAAACTAATAGTTTATTTGTTCCCATAAAAGGAATATTTTTCATAGCACTTATTTCATTCCACGAATTTTCAGCCTGGATCTCATTTGTACCCTCTAAAATCTCATCGTGCACGATCATTTCCGCTCTCTCTTGCATAAAACTCTCCTCATTTTTTGTAAGATCTGAATCCGAATCTACGTTATTGTAAAAATCTTCTACTTGAACTAAAAAATATAAATTTCAGTTTTCTATAATATAGCACATTAAAATTATTTACTTACATTCATCCTCGTCGTCTTGCTCACTTTCTGTATCAGAGTTATAAAAAATTCTGTCATTTCCTCAACCGATAATTTTTTTGGATTTCTTACATTTATGACTTTTCGCTTTTTTCATACCTGAAGGTCCAGGTTGCTGTGAATCGCTCATTTTTTATAGAAAATCAATACAACACAAATTAAAAACTTCTGTTATTAAAACGACATATAAAAGTAGGTACTAATCACAAGGTAATGTCAAAAATTATAGGTTATATTTGAGATAATTTATTTACGAAAATAGGCAACCAGTTCTACAACGGACGGTTCACTGTAATAAAATAGACCTTTCTGTATGTGCGGAGTTATTTTTGTGCCATTCCAAAGACTGCGGAAGATATAGTTTATATTTGAAGTCACATTTACATAGGCCGCTATATCGCGCCCTCCGCATTTTATGAAACACTCTGAGGACGCGATATCGCGCTTTCCGCAGTGAAAGGGTTAAGAGAATACCCCCTGTTGAGATGCAGAGGGCAAAATACCCTCACTACTAGCATTAATTTTTTTTTATATGTTACGTTTTACGTGATAAAAAGAAGACTCCCAATTTTAACCCTTTAACCTGCGTCCTCCACTGCCCACCACCAAAAACGTCATTTTTCGTTTTTAATATTTTTTTTTCAGCGGGTTGCCATCAATATAAAAGTTTTAATAAATTCACCCACTTAGTTAAGATAGACTTTTACAAAACATATATGTTTTAGGGATCCTTAGGTTTAGTCTACATAACCTAAAAACACATCATTTTTGGAGATCATTTTAGGTCTATTTTTTTTTTTATTAAAACTATATTTTTGATTTGTTTTCTGATTTTTCCATGTGCGCCACCTTTTAAAACCCAAAAAACTGTTTTTCGAGGTTTTTTGGACTTTCTACATTTTATAGACTTCAAAATATAACAAATCAGGGTTTTTATAGGTTATATATAATGTCGGGCAACTTTGGGGTTTTAAAAAATTGAACGAAACACCTTTAAACCTAAAAAAACACGTTTTTTTAGTATTTTTAAGAATTTTTTCAAGGTTAATCATACTTAGAGGTCCGATACATTTTACGTTTTACGGTTTACGTGAATAAAAAATAAGACTCCCCCATCCCCAGAAATGTAATTTTTTCGTTTTGTTTTTGGGTTGCAATAAATTTAAAAATTTCAAAAAATGTACACGCTTAGTTGAGGCTCTTGCAAACTTTTTTAGTTTAGTTTTGATAAACCCATAGGTTGAGTGTACATGTTACTATGAAAGTCCGAAATTTAGTTAATGTCGAGATACACCAGTGAATGTCAACATCTACTAAGTCACTTGACGTATGTTCGAGTTATTGGTTAAATATTATATTTTCTAATATTTACCGGTAAATTTTGACATTCATCATATATTTTTGGTGTACGTTGAAAACATATTTTTTATCAAGTAAAAATAAAAAATTTGTTGAGTATAAAATTTGTTTTTTGAAGCTGCGAGCTTTGAAGAAATTTGCTCATGCTGTTCAGTCAGTACTTGAGATGATTTTTCTTGAAAAGTATTCAAATAGACCTCTAGCTGTTCCTCAGTTTCAGTATTTTCAATTTCACCTTAAAGGAGAGATGACAACGCTAGGTCTCTTTTTGGTTTAACGCCAAATGTGGATTCATATGGATTCTCGCGTATTCCTTCTGTATTCCATCCGTAAAATACTTACTCGTCTGTTCAACAACGCGTATGTGATGCTCTAGGAATTAGTGAAACCAAACTAAGATGAGTATGGATGCTCTAGGAATTAGTGAAACCAAACTAAGGAACATGTGACCTTAAATACAATTCTCTCGGAATTAAAAGATAGAAAATTTGACGAAATTGGCAGAACAAGTCTATGGCAAGTGATAAGTATCTATGGCTGTGCATAAAAGAATTAACTTTCTAAGAAAATATTCAAAATTAAAAGAAGAAAGGGCAAATTTTATATATTTAGACGAAACATGGATATTTTCTAGGAGTGCAACCAAGAGAATATGGCAAGATGATAACGTAAAGTCTATCAAATATACTGATGGAGAAGGGAAGCAACACATAATTTTACATGCAAGAGGGAAATCGGGTTTTATAGAAGGTGCTGATTTAATATTTTCATCTAAATCAAAATCAAGTGACTATCACGATAATATGAACACAGAAATGTTTGTAAAATGGTTACATGAAAAACTTCTCCCAGGTTTAAGTGAGCCCAGCGTAATTATTTTAGACAATACACCTTACCATTCTGAAGTATTAAACAAAAGTCCAACGAATTCTTGGACTGTTAATAAAATTAAAGAATGGTTGACAAAGGAACATATACCATTTACACAACATATTTTAAAATCAGAATTATTACGCTTGGCAAATATCCACGCAAAACCTTTGTTGTGGATCAGATTATTGAAAGTTACGGTCATCAAGTTTTACGTCTGCCACCGTATCATTGCCAGTTTAATCCCATCGAATATATATGTATGGGGAATAGCAAAACAATACTATGACAACCATATTGGGCCTAACGGTTATAGCGACGACGCAGTTCGGGAAACTTGGCGAAAGACACTTTCAATTGTAACTCCAGAAGTGTGGTGCAACTGTATATTCAAGTGCGAGAAACTAATAGAAGATTGGTGGACTCGTGAAAATAAAATAAACGAAATAAGTCCAATCATAATAACAATTAATGGTGATGACAGTGCACATCATGATGATGATGACGATTGTGATATTTTTGATGATAATGACTGATTTTCATTTTTGTTGTTTCAAAAAGTTAAATTTCTTTATTTTTCATTAGAAGTGTGAAGTGTAATATAAAATTATTATTAGTTTTATATTAGCCACATTAGACTCCATTAATGAAGTAATTCTCCTTATTATACTGTCAATTATATAAAAGATTTTCCATTATTATTTAATTAAAAAAAGTTATGGATTATTTTTCATTTTTCATTTCATGTGACCAGTTGATACTTCCTCAAAGAGCAGGTAATTAAAACTGGGTACTTACAATAAAATTTTTAATCCGAAACCCGCGTAAATATAGCGAACCGACTTTATGATTCAAATAGAGAGAGAGAGAGAGAGAGAGAGAGAGAGAGAGAGAGAGAGAGAGAGAGAGAGAGAGAGAGAGAAAGCTTTTAAAAAGTACATTTTGATTATATTGATTTTTCAATTCTGCAATTTTTAATTTATATAAAACAATTACAAATAAATATTTGGCCCTTTTGAGATTAATTGCAAAGATTTGTTGCAATCTGACAACTGGTTTTTTCAGGATTGCCAAATCTATCCGCTAATAGACAATTCTCAAAAAAAATGTTTAATAATTAACTGCAATAATTAATCTCGAAAGATACAAATATTTACTCGTTATTGATTTGTAAATTAAAAATTGCAGAATTCATAACATAATATAATTAAAATGTACTTTTCTAAAACATTCTCTTTTTATATTTGAAGTATAAAACATATACATGTCAACACTACCAAAACGGAATATTTTGTTCCATGGTTGACATTTGCAGCTATATTCAGCTTGTACTTTCGTTAAAGTTAACCCAGTTTGTATTTAAAGAATCTTATTTTAAAATTTTCTTATTTAGTTTGTCTAAATTGTTTCTAAAATTTCACGACATCTATGGTCCATCGGCAATATTATTTTTATTCGTTCTGCAAACAAAAATATTGAGTCTTTCGTTAAGAGAGGGAGCTCGACGTTTTTTAATCGATAACACGTCATTGTTAAAAAGAGATGCAACATATTTTTTATTTTTTACACATACATTTAGTGTGCAGAAAAGTATCACAAAAAAAAGAATAAAAGGCGAAGAAGTATACATGGCATTTTAGATTCAGCTGTTTCTATCATATAGCTAACGAGTAGGAGGAATGAATATTGTTTAATTAAAGAATCACTATTGAGACGAAAAACACAAAAAAAATTGTGTAATTTGTCACAAAATACATTATAAATGGCTTTCTTTGTTTGAAAGGAACCTTGTCGTTATTTTTACATAAATATATCGTTTAGTTATTCTGTTACGGACACACTTAGTATCTACTAAAGTGGCCTCTAGATATAAAAATTTAAACACTCATTAACCCATGTGTTTGGTTTTCCAGTGTAACTTTTGTTGTTCTTATTTATAGTGAGATAAACATATTTTATATTTTAGGTAAAATAGAATGTCCACATATAACGCATGCAGAATCAATTGAGCTAGCGAGATTAATGGATCTATTCAGAAAGGAAGTTGGGGTTGCATACCCAGAAGATTCTCAAGAGTTTTAAACACAAGAAAGGGAAAATGAGTAGTTATTTACAATTTGTTAGCAAATAAATAAATTTTTTTTGTTTCTTTTGATTTATATGCCATTTATTCTCCTATTATTAGCCCAACTTTTTAAATATTTTCTCTAGTAGGTATCCATTCTAGAGCTTTTCGATGGTTAAACTTCGGCTAAAAGCTGAAGATCGCTGCAATCTATTACATGCATATTAATATCAATTGTTAAAATTCCAGATCTTTTTTCCCTCTTCAATCCTGATTGATTCTTCTGTATAGCCACATCTCGAAGGCTTCAAGTTTTTCCTTCATCGCTTTAGTGAGTGTCCAGGATTTAACTCCGTAGTATAATATCGAGAAGATATCGTAGGAGCCTTACTTTTATCTCCAGATTAGGGTTGTGGCTTTTAAAGTGTTTGACCCTATTATTGAATGCACACCTAGCCTTTTCTATTCTATATTTTACTTCTTGTGAGGGATCTCATTGTTAGTTTACTATTGTTCTAAGATAGGTGAACTGTTTTACTCGGTCCACTGGTGTATTCTTTATAAGCAGTTAGACGTATCTATATATATATATATATATATATATATATATATATATATATATATATATATATATATATATATATATATATATATATATCCCGTTTATAGCGTAATCCGCCTTTGGGTTCCCGTTCGCCAAGCCTGTCTATTCTGCCAGTCTTCTTCAAATAGATTTCTTGCTGACATGGCTTTTGAAATTCCTTGCATCCATGTTGTTGGTGGTCGTCCTCGTTTTCTTTTCTCTGGTGGTACCCATTCTAATATTTTTTTTGGTAGTCTTTCTTCCCCCATACGTCTAACATGTCCGTACCATGTCAGTTGTTGTTTTTCGATGTCTTCTATAATTGATCTTTGTACATTCATTTGATTTCTTATGTCCTCATTTCTCACATGTTCTAATCGAGACTTTCCTGCTGCTCTCCTCCAAAAATCCATTTCAACTGCCAAGAGGTTACCTTTAAGTTTTTGTGATAACTGCCATACTTCTGAGCCATACACGATTACTGGTTTCAATATTGTGTTATATATTAATAAAAAAAAAAAGTTAGACGTATCTAATTTTATTAATTTTATTTTAGCTGATGACGATAAATTTAGTTTTTGATATGTTTACTTGTAGTCCCAATCTTTCACTTACTTTATTTACTTTGTTTATTAGTTGCTGTAAACTGTTTAAACTGTTTGCAAAACTAACGGTGTCATCTGCATAGCGGATGTTGTTTAGGCGTTCTCCATTTAAAAGGATTCCATATTCGCAATTTTCCAAGGCTTCACTAAATATTTTCTCTGAATATAGGTTGAATAATATAGGTGAAAGTATACATCCTTGTCTAACGCCTCGCAGAATCTGGATCGCTTCTGTCAGTTCATCTACAAGATTTGTTCTTATTGTGGCTGATTGGTTCCAGTAAAAACTTTGTATTATACGTCGGTCTTTGTCATATATTTGGGCTTTTGTTAGAACATCCATCACTTTTCGGTATTGAACTGTGTCAAATGCTTTTTGGTCATCCACAAAGTAAGTGTAGATATCGCAAGTCATATCTGTACATCTTTGGAATAATACCTGTAGACTAAACAGTGCATTTCTCGTACCTACGCCTTTCATGAATCCAAACTGCGTGTCTTGCATTCTCTCTTTGCATAGCTTGTATATTCTGCGATGAATAATTTAAAAAAAAGTTTTGATGTAAGGCTCATTGAACTTATTAGCCTATATTCTCCTCACTTTTTCGCTCCCTGTTTCTTTGGTAACGAAATAAATTCTGAAACTAGCCAATCTTCTGGAATATTGCTCGTGTCATATATAGATATTATTGAAGATTTTACATAGTATTCTTAAAGATTCATCATCAAGAAGTTTAAGACTTAATTCAGACTGTACTCTGTCTGGTCCTGGAGCTTTCCCTTCTTTTACTGATATTGAAGTATGTTTAAAATTTCTTGAAATTATTCCCTTTAAAAAATTACTTTCACGCCGCCTATGTCTATATATTTTGATAGGAGCCTTAAAAATAACCCAAAAGCACCGAGTGATTTGTCATGCCTTTTTTTAACAACGTAACAATTCGCCAAACATTTCTTGTTTTTTTATTTATCATTTGTTAAATAGAAACCCTTCCTCGTAACAAAGACATCAGCTCCTATTGTCAAATACCCAGCCCACCTTCTTAGAAAAACGGAGATGTTGGTTTTCGATGAAAAAATAATTCCTGTCAAGAGAAAATGTTTAGTTTACAAATACGACCACACTAGCCTTGACATTTAAATATTATTTTCGTGTGGCACCCTTCGGCACTCGTTTTTTATCCTTAGCTTGTCTAAGATCAGAACTCGAGCTCATTTCCGAGTTGGTTCCTGTGGCAAGTGGTTTGTCTCCATCAAACGGCGACGTCTTCTGTTTGCCATTCGTCTCTAAATTCGTCGCTACCATTCGTCTTTACTATTCGTCTCTACAAATCGTCTCTACAATTCGTCTCTACATTCGTCTCTACTATTCTTTTCTGCTATTCGTCTCTACTGTTCACTACTACCTGTATTACTACTGTGTGCTATTCTTGTTCTGCTGCTTCTCTTTCTTCCTTTTCATCTGCCTAAATCAATTTGAGAGATTGCGGATAGATGATCTTAATCCGTTACCGTACCTGACTCATCCACGCCGTCGGGCAGTCCCAAGTACCTGTTGCGAGGACAAAGTGTCAAGTGCTTTCATTGAGAACGTTCTATAAAAGAACGACACTACCTATGCCTACCTGTTGCCTGTTGTATTGTGAGTACCTATATTTTTATTGACTAAAGCTCATCCTCGCTACCTAAATCGTAAGAAGTTGATTTTAGTGATGTAACGAATATTCGCATTCGCGAATATTCGCATATTTTTGCATATTCGCATTTGCATTCGCATTCGCAAAATTTGTGCGAATGTTTTGCGAATATTACACAGCTTGCATTTAGCTCGTTCAGTATCGAAAAGTGGTGAAAAATAATTCCATATTTCACTATAATTTGATTTACTCATAGTAATAAATCGCTAATCACACTTTAACTAAAAATTCACTTGTATTTGTGCACGAGCAGAGCAGGGCAAGTGGAGTGACTTGTGTCCCGTGAAATTGTTATTGGAACTCTAACCAGAGAACTTAGTTCTCTGCTATAACTTTCTCTCTATAACAAGTCAAATTTGATTATAACAAGAGAAAATAAGATCGAAAAACGTGCTTTCTACGTTTTTGACCCGGACGTGACTATAAATAAACACCTTTTTAAACGACCCCTCAATAAACTTAACCGCCTACAATAAACTTCTTTACAATAAATACAACTGTTTCACATCTTTACTTTAGCAAATATGATAGAATGATACTGGACAATTTAAAGCAGTTAAAAATGACAGACTTTTTCCAATTGCCTACACACCTCGCGCAAATGAGACAATTAAAATTGCCAAATTAAAAAAAAACTGAATATTCGCATTCGCATTCGCGTTCGCGAATGTTTAAAAAATGACATTTGTTACATCACTAGTTGATTTACAACTTTAGTTTAGTGACTTTGCTATTTATGGTTAAATCTAACCGAATGAACTGTTATGAGTATAAACTTATGATATAATATATACGTATAAATTACGCTTTATGAACAATTTATTTTATATTAATGTATGTTGTATTTATGATAAATTTTATGCATAGATTTGAGGTGATTACGTTCAAAAATTTAGTAAACGTTTACGTATTCTCAAGGCATAAAAATGATTATTTGACGAATATTGACGTAGATACAGACTGAAGCCCGAGCCTAGTACCACTCTTTGTGTAACCTCTACTCTATCATTAAATATTATGGCTGCTCTTATTTTCGCCACTAGTACAGGTATCCTGTTTCCATAGGTATTGGCGACAGGTTCTCCCTCTCATCAAAAAATAAAATTTGTATGTAATTTTTCTACATATTTTTCAATACTTTACCAAGAATCAGAATTACTAAATTGGAAGTTCAACATTTTTTGGAAGATCTAAAAAATTATAATAACTTTGAGTAGTTTTGTAATAACATTATTATATAATTATCTAGGATCATCTTTTGTAGCTGTGGTATATAAAAATAAAAATTGTGAAAAAAAAACTTGTTCTATATTCTTTATTAAACAAAATAAAACCAGATCTTTTCTACAACAATACAATAAACTCTACAATATATTAATCCGCTAAAGAGTTGTAATTAACGAATAAATTATTCCTTATTTTTTCCAAGTTCGTCATTAGTAAGTTCCAGATTACCATGTTCTTCGTTATTATCAGTGACTAATCCACCTTGAAGCAATTTTGTGATTCGGTTGACGTCCAGTGTGGAATCTCTGGCGCTAATCTTCTTAAGAGCGCTGTTGACAATGCACAGATCACCCCGAAGTTCGGATACTAAAGCTGTAATCTTCTTCTCGTTACTCAAAACTTCGACCGTTTGTGTATAGGGGTTGTATCGAATGCCGAACGGGCGTTTAATTTGTTCTGCAAAAGTTCTAAAACAAGAAATGTTTGTTAATATAAGACAAAAGTTTTAAAAACAGTTGTGATTTCGAAATTTCTTTATAACCCATGCCTTCCATCAAATTCATTCAAATTCCGTTCAGTGGTCAGAGACAATAATGACACTGAACCTCTAAAAAGCATATAAAAAAACCTGAATTTTGTTGAGTATGTCAATTTTGGGACCTCAAAAAAGTTTGCTACTTCAACCTCCGGGATTTCTCCTAAAAACCTCTTTTAAGGACGCTTGAAGCAACCGGCAATGTTTTAAAACAATTCCGATTTTAAGTTGTCGCAACAAATATGAGATATTTAAAATATACCCGAAAACGCTGCTAAAATCTAAAACTTTTAAACCTGCTTTTTAAATGCACAAGTACGTTTTTGGAAACTGCACAACTTCAGTTACAAATTCCACCCAATGCCGTTTTCTGAAAGAATTTCCCGTGACGTTTTCCCCGATATTATGTAAATAATATGTTCTTATTAAGTATATATGTTCATATATATGAAAGGTACTGAGATATTTAAAATTTGAAAAATTTATGAGATAATAAAAAATTCTAAAGAGACATTTAACGAAACCTCGACCTTTTTTGCGGTAAATCAAATATAATGAAGTGAAATATACTAATAGAGAAAAGACCTACTATGTGCTATTACAGATCTTCAGATAACCCTCTAGATAACACAGATCTTCCTACAAATTATTGGACATGCAGAAAACCTGGTATTTGTAACATAGAACGAAGAAAAATTGACAATGACACAAGATTCTTAAACAAGAAATAAATATAATATTGTATTAATAAATTAAGTAAATACGTTTATGCATTTGTTTTGACTTAAGACTGGCACTAATAATTTGTGAGTTACTCAATCCATTCAAAACTTACCAAAGATGCAGCAAAAGAAAATAAAGACATTAATTTTATGTAAAAAATACCGAAATTTTATTTATGTAAATCAATGTAACAATCAAAGAAACAACTCTTTTTTTTTACCTCATTTTCTCCTTAGCTTCTTCAAACGAGTCTGTATACCAGTAGCCTAGTTGGTAATCCGTAATGATACATTCCTGCTGACAAGTAAGATCTGGATCAAAACGTTTCACATTATCTTTTGCTTCTATTGCATGTTTGAGCTCTGCTACTGAACTGAGCAAACCAGCTCCGTATACTTTAAGCTCCCCATCTTGTTTGGCCAAACCAAACTCCACAGTGAAGAAATAAAGCTAGAAACAAACAATACGACTTGTTTATGGTGTTGTTAATAAGAAAAAAAGTCGTTAAATAAAACTAAAAAGGGTACTTACTGTAGCGAGTTTATCAATATCTTCTTGGCAGGCTCCAAGGGACGCCAACCCTAACTCTTGAGAAAATTGTGCAAAGCTGGGATTTGCTAGAAGTGGCATATGACCCAATAATTCGTGACAGCAATCCCTAAAGCCAAAGAAAGGTTAATATAGCAAACAGTTGCCTTTGGTGTATATTCTATTATCTAATATATTTTAATCATCAATGTTTTAGTAATAATAATATTAATGAGCTTGAACCATAAATGATAAATAATAAATAACAAACGGAAATCATGATAAAAGACACCAGGCAGAAGGCAGTACTGCTCTCAATATCTAGATACGTAAGAACATTTTTGGGAGAGACCAAGTCACCTAGGGCTCGATAACACAGAAAGAGTCCCAAGAGCTCAATCCTTTTGATACCGTAGGTATCTGGGATGAGTGAATTTTTACCTTAGAGAGCGTGTGAATCGTATGGCCAAATCTGGATAATAGTAAATGTTGCTTAAAGCGTGGAAACTTGACCATAAACAAATAAAAACTGAGATAACTGTGGAGTTTATACAAAGAGTAAAACAGCTGCTTCGTTCACACATTAACAATACGAATTTGTTTAAGGCACTAAACACCTACGCATATTCCTGGCTTAGCTATTTAAGTGGTGTTGTTAAGTGGACGAAAACGGATATAGAAAATCTTCAACAAAAAGTATGAAGACATCTCACAGAAGCACAAAAACACCATCCTTGAAGTCAGTCAATACTATGTCGACAATATAGCATCAAACTATTCGTTGACATCAGAAAAGATGTTCCCTGGATCAGAAGGTTCTTACTCGCTATTCAGGATCAAGTTATATTAACTCAAAATTACCTGAAATATATCGTCAAAGACCTTCGTGTCCAAAACGACAAATGACGATATGGATGTTAAGCCCAAATAACCATCCATCTTACCAGAAACTGACAGACAACTGCTGCAATTAAACTACATGATTAGGTGAGAAAAATCCTTTATTAAGAGATAGCTGTTAAACTGCGGTCTGCCTACTCCTCGCCTGTTCTCTCTTGGTCTCCAGTTTGTTAATCTTTGTGTCCATTTTTCGGAATTATCTCGGGCAAAGTGTCCGACCCATTGCCACTTGAGCCTTGCAATATGTTCTGAGACTCCCTACAATCCCTAGCATGGCCCTCTCCATTGCTTTTTGGGTTTTACTGAGCTGCTCTAAGGTTTTCTTTGTGAAGGCCATGGTCTCCAGTCCATATGTAGTTACAAGCAAGATACATTTGTCATAAACTCTATGTTTTAGACACATTGGTATATCTTTATTCTTCAAAATAAAGCTTAATTTGTCAAAGCTGCCCAAGACAGTTGTATGCGTCTTTTTATTTCGGCTATTTGATTTTCTTTGCCGATTTTAATGGTATGTCCAAGATATATATATATAGTGGTCTACATTTTCAAGACTGACGTTGTCAATAACAAGATTAGTTTGTAAATTACTCATTATTTTTGTTTTCTGGAGGTTCATTTTGAGACCTATTTTATTTGACTGCTAGTTTAATTCCTTCAACATTTGCTCCAGTTCCTTGATATACAGATTGAACGAAATAAATTCGGAACATAGGAATATAATGTATTTCGGCTCAATTCTGCTGTAGGTGGTTGGCCAACAAAATATTGTCAAATATTTATATTATAAAAATCCAATACTTCAGTGGGCTGCTGGATTATGAACTCATAACAATTGAAAGCTACACATAAATCTACGATTTATGCTGTCAAACCAGTTATAGTCCAGGAAATGAAGCATTTCACCTCGCAATTATTTCGTGCTCCCTGGATTGACTTGAAATTTAACAGAGGGTAGGTAATAGCCTAAGGATCAAAATCTATATCGAACCAAAGTGCGCCAAAGCCTAGGGGGTGGTTGCCACCCCATCTCCGGGGTGAAATTTTTTTTTACGTTTTAACTACAGGTTTCGATTAAAAAAGTGATTCTAAACAAAAAATGTGCTATACATTTTTTTTATAAAATGATATTTTTCAAGTTATTCGCGATTGAAAGTAATAATTTTTGGACGAAAAAATCCACGTTTTTAATCGATTTTTCGCGAATAATTCGAAAATGGTGCATTTTATCAAAAAAATTGTAGAGAACAAATTTGTAGCTTTTAAAAAGACAAATACAATTCATTTTTTAAAATGTTTTTGGGATATAACAGGAACCGAAATACGGCCTATTAATGTTCAGCGGTTTTCTTCAAATGCCAAATTTGAAAGATTCAAAATCAAATATCGGGAAAATGATGCATTTTTGGAAGAAAACTCACAAAACCTTTTTTAAAGAGCATAAATAGACCTATCATAAAAAAAACTCTAGCTGAAAAATTGAGTGAGTTATGATGAAAATAAGGTCAATACCTCATTTTTTACGAAAAAATCGATGAAAACAACCCCCTAACCACCCCCATAATTAAAATCGATCTTCACCCTTCTGAAATTCCCTTTGTACATGTATTGTTAATATGTCCAAGAAGTTTGACCCATTTAAAATGCTTTGTGTTATAAAAAGTACAGCTTAAAGCGAGAAACGATTTACAATTTCATATTTTTTACCCTTCTTTTTTTAAATATGCCCGAAAATACTCAATATATAAAAAAAATACAAATTACCAAATTGTAGCTTTTTTAATGACTAAAATTATCCTTCATTTAGATTTGTTGTACAATGAATATTTGGCAAGATATAGCCGTTTAAAGCATCGATTTACGATCAAGCACCATCTTTTTCGATCCCTTTAAACTCACCCCATTTAAAAACCAAGGGTTCCAAAAAGATTTAATTCACAGATTCTTGTAGCTCTTAAAAACCTCTACAAATCGTTTTTGAAGAAACACTCTATCGTTAAAAATTAAAGGAAATACGTTAAAAAAAACCAGTGAATTTTTTTCCGGAAAATTTTATTAGTATAGTACAGTACATTTCGGAGCATAGTAATCTACAAAACCGGTATATTAGCTAGTGGGGCGTTATACATTCGAAATTTTAAGCGTTCTTATTTTGAAATCCCATACAACAGAATAAAACATCTGCTCATATGTCTATGGCTTGGCAATGAAAATATTAGAGCAACAGATTGGGGATGGTATTCCAAAGATGGTTTGTTATTACCCGTACGCATGAACAAACAACCTGCACTCGATGAACTTTTGAAAATTATTTTTTGGCAATGCAAAAAAGGATGCGGTGTTTCATGTGGGTGCAGAAAAGTTGGTTTATACTGTAACTCTACTTGTTCTGGGTGCTCAGGTGAAGGGTGCAATAATAGTCCACCAATAATTGAAGATGAGGATGACATAGATCACGATGAAGATGTAATTGATGACGAATAAAATTAATATTACAATTGTTTTACCTATAAATGTAAATATTTTCAACTATTTATGTAAATGTATAAGAATATATGGTGCCTTTTTATGTTGATAAATTTTTTTAAAACTGCAATGTTGTAAAGGGTGATTTTCAAAAGTTGAAAAGTTGCAAAATTTTGGCAAAAAATTGTTTTCACCTATAGCACTCATAACAATTGATTTTTAAGGGTTGAAAATGTATGAATTTGTATTTTAAAGTATAAAAAAATCACTATTTAACTAATCCAAACCAAATTTCACTCATCTTAAGATTTATAATATTATTTTACAATTTTTGAAAATTAGAAGTAGTTTTCACCCCTAAGAACAATCAGGGTTCATCGGCATGACATAAACTATAAAGCAGAGGGTGAGTTGAGCTTAATTCCAAATTTTTATGCAAATCGTTCCAAGGTGAAATCATTTTCTCGCATTACTAATTTTTTTATATTAATCTCTAATAAGGGTGCTTTTTAAGGGTTGAAATATGATGGAACTTTATTCAAAAGCACGAAACTATCATTATTTAATTAATTCAAACCAAATTTTACCCATATTCAGGTTTAATATGTTATTTTATAATTTTTGACAATTACGGGTAGTTTTCACCCCTTAGAACAATCAGGGTTCGTCGACATGACATAAACTATAAAGCAGCGGGTGAATTGAGCTTAAATCCAAATTTTTATCCAAATCGATCCAAGGCGAAATCATTTTTTTATAATTGGTAATTTTTTTACATTAATCTCTAACAAGGGTTGCTTTTTAAGGGTTGAAATATGATGGAACTCTATTCAAAAGTATAAAATAATCATTATTTAACTAATTCAAACCAAATCTTACCCATATTCAGGTTTAATATGTTATTTTATAATTTTTGACAATTAGGGGTAGTTTTCACCCCTAAAACCCTTCAGCGCACTTCGGTTCGATATAGATTTTGATCCTTGGGCTATCACCTACCTTTTGTTAAAATTTAAAATGGATACATGCAGGACGAAAAAATTGCGAGGTTTTAACTATTTTCGAGCTTTATTTCCTGAACTATAATCGTTTCCTTAGACAAACCCGTCTTATGCAAACAACATTGTTGTGAGACAGATAGTTGAACGATATTTTATACAATGTCTATACCTAGGTATGGATTTATTTTTGTCCGAGTTTTATATTGGTCCACTATTTCAAATGCAGTTCAAACACACATGTATTAAATTGTATGTTCCGTTTTAATTTGGTTCAATCTGTATGTACTAAATAATACTATGTCATCCGCAAACCTCAAATGACTCAAACGTACACCATCAATGTTTAGACCTTTTTCCTCCCAGTCAAGCTGTTGAAATACATTTTCCAATGCTAAGGTAAAAAGCTTTGGTGAAATAGTATCACCTTGTCTAATACCTTTATCAAGGCGCATTTTTTCAGTTTTTTCGTCTTCATTGATTTTGATGTGGAATGTGGCCTATTCATAAATGTTTTTAATGAGTGTAGTGTACCGTGAGTCTATTCGAGCATCCTTCAGGGCTGACAAAAAGGACCAAGTCTCAATACTATCGAAAGCCTTGTGAAAGTCGATAAATGCCATATGTAAAGGTACATTATATTCTGTGGTTTTTTCTACTAGTGTTCTGATGGTTTGTAAGTGATCATTAGCACCAAATCCTTTTCTAAATCCCGCCTGTTCAACCGGTTGATATAAATCAAGTTTTTGTGTTATGCGGTTGGTTATTATTCTTGTTAACAATTTGTATAAGTGTGACAACAAACTTATAGTGCTTAGCTTTCTTGTGTAGTGTTAATCAAGGGGGTGCCAAATCTACAACCAAATTACAAGCCTCTTGTGAAATAAACAAGTTCTTTTAGAGTAGTTGAGCATTCTTTAGTAAACACTTGGAGGTGACCTGTGACTAGATTCTCTCCTAGGGTAAATATCTTCGTGTAAAGATTTTAAGAAAACACAGAAAACCAAGCTCTCCACTATCCTTTGTGTAATTAATGAGCGACTTTTATGGAGTGTATCGAAGTGTATCACCATATGGCGTGTAGGTTGGTAAAATGTGTGTTTGGAATGTTGATGGTTGCTGACAAGTTAGTGCCCTAAGGGTATTGAGTTCTAAGAAGGTGTGACGGTAAGTTTTAGGGTTGTGCTCTTTGGTACCCTGATGATAAAAACTGGTGATATGTATTTTGGTAACTAATGTATTAAGAAAATGAAAATAATACTATAAAATCAGCAAAAAAAAAAAGATATGGCGGAAAGTAATCATTTGTTGGTTGAATTATGCCAATTTGGACATTGAATGTCCTAATATTTTGAAATCATCTAGTTACAAAAATTTATAGCAACAACTTGTATTCAAGAAATCTGGATTGCTCTAAGGGTTGTTATTTCATTATGAACGAATAAATACAAGAAACTAAACAACTACTTACGGTTCTGGAGTATAAAATGGATCTGTAGAATGCCTGATATACTGAGTGCAATGAAAAACGCGAAACGCCAGTCCTGCCAGGAAGTCTCTGGCGCTTAAGTATCCACCGACGGGTCGAAGAGAAAAGCCCGTTTTTCTTTTAAGAAACACACTGACGTCTTGAAGCTGAGGGATGTTGTCTTCTCTATATCCGCAATATTTTACCAGCTGTGGCCAATTTTCCAAATATTCTCTACATGCGTGTTTTTCGTATAGTTTTTGTAATTCGCGAAAAACTGTGCCCCTAGAAAAAACAATTGTGATAAATGAAAACAGTGAAACAATACAGCAAACTGCTGGTTATTAAATTTAGGAAACACTTTTAATTGAATTTCCAATTGAAGTATTTAAAAATACAAGGTGACGTTTATTTTAGTTAAATTTACACTGATTTTAATTTATTTACAGTCTTTTAACTCTAATACTAAAGATGCAATTAATTTATAACATTTTATTTACTTCACTACAAATATATTTATTAGACTGACTCTCTACAATTTAATTCTCGTTATGTATGTTGTCCCCTTATTCGGAAATTTCATCGTTGTCTCTCAGCGGACCGTTGACGCATTCAACAAATTTCTAGGATCCTTCGTGACGTCACAGTGCCAATGAGGCAAACGTATGAAGTCTGATGCTAAACTATTGTCTATGCACACAATATTACAGTGTCGAGTGCGGTGAAATATTATAACAAATTAGAATGTGAATTTTTCGATAGTAAATTTTGACTGTTTTATATAAAGAAACTATTCTCAGTTCCGTATTTTGTTACCATGTTTTTTAATAACTCTCTGTGAACTTTGCAGTAATGGTTTATCTGTATTAAATATAATTTTTAACACCGTTGAATACAATTCTACGTTTCAAACATATTCTTTGGCTTCGTATAATTGAAAGGCGTATTTTGTCTTATCGTTTAGCAGCTGTTTCCATTCCGTTTGGCAAGAGTTGATTAAATTTAGAGCTGTCAGTAAACATTACAGTCGATTATAGACCAACACAACTAATTGATTGATTAAAGAGGTTGATTGAAGGGCTGTTGAGGGTTATTTAAAAATGGAACAGATTGTGTCCAGTATTTAATTGATTTTTCGTTGAGAATAAATGGCACTATTAAGAACTGTATAGTTAAGTACTTCTGGTGTTTTTCTATTTCTTATTTGTAGAGAGTTTAGTGCTACGAGGTACTTAAAACAAAAATCGGTTTAATTTTTTCGAATTTTAAAGAAATCTTAAAACGAGCTCCTTGTCGCCCTTTTGGCGACATAGCTTTTTTTTTAGCATATAGCACTTTTGGTTCTATGGAAAAATTTCTCGATGCTAAGCTACTTTTACGCGTAGAGGAAAGCGGTCTAATATTGGATACATTTTTTTCCACCCGTCCCTTGGATAGGGTATTCGATATTAGGGAAAAGCTTATTTCATGTACATTTACAATACAAACAATATATTTGTTATTTTAGTGATTACAAAATATTAATTTTATTTCAGTAAATGATATTTATTATTGTCAAAGGTACAAAAATAATTAATACAAGTTAATGGTGACTATTCATCCATACAAAATTCTCAAATTGAATTAATGTTGCCTTCAGCTCCACCGCAATCTTCATGACACCAGCAAGCTTGTTGTCCAGCTTTGTCGAAAGAAAAAAAAACTCTTCTTCTTGATCTATTTCGTCTTCAAAATCAACAAATGATATTTCTTGCTAAGACTCTGATGAATCTGAAGAAGTTTTCCTTTTGTTTTTGGATTTAATTTTTTGCTTAAATTAGTATCATCGTTTATGTTTTCTTCATTTTCTTCAACTTTCTGCATTTATTTTACCACTTTCCTAACACCGCTTGCAATTTTAGGCGATAGTGCTTCTTCAAGACCTTTTTATAAGGCGATCCACTAATTAAAACAGCTGCACCAGGATTCTTTCATTTAATTCCTGATGGACCAGGTAAGGCAAAGGTTTTGAGTCAGTTGGTTCTACAAAATTGCTTATTTCATCAATCCTGGTAGTAAGTCCACCAGGTTGAACAGAAACGTCCTGTGGAACGATAATGTGCTTGACCTTCTCAATAGTTTTGGAGATTTATTTTCGTTGTTTCTGCTTTAATTTTTTTTGGAAATATCATCATTGGGGTAATGTAATGCCCATTTGCATTCATTTATATGACAACTGTTACAAGTGAACCTCTTTCCGAAGTTGTTAAAGCTCCAATTTGTTTTTTTTTTCCTTTTAAGTCTATAACTTTAGTACGCTTGTATTGAACTGCTGTTATCCCAAACTCGTCAACATTATAAATCCTGCTTGGATTAAATTTTATCTTTTTTAGTTCTGGTTCTAGAATATCATAAAATTTCTTAAGATTTTCTTTAGTAAATCCTTTGATTCTACCAGCACATACACCTTGTGGCGTTCGAAAAGAAATAGTCTTGTTACGCTTTCAAAATTCCTCAGGCATTTTTTCTCCTTGCATTAGCCTTCGAGATACAAAATGGGTGTGACAAATTGTTGGACAACGCCAACTGAAAAGTTAAACGGCGAATGTCTGTTGAAGTTAAACCATAAAACCTCCTTTCAAATTCCAAGCAGTATTCAACCAACCAAGAGTTGATTTTTCGAGGTATTATAGTGGATTTTCTTTCTTAAAATAATATTCTAATGTAGCTTTCTATTTTAATATGATATGGTTTCGGAGCACCTGCTTATTTTGGTCTAAATGTTTGGCGTTATTTAGATCACTTAGGTAGTATTGAATGGGCTCCTACTTCACCCGATTTGAATCCTACAGATTATTTTTATTGAGGATAATTTAAAAGTACAATTTAAAAAACTAAACCAGCAAGTAGTGCAGAGGTAAGGCAAAGAATTATCGAAGAATCCCTATTAATTTCTAGTGAAACATGGAGAAATGTAATAGACGCATTCTACTAATTGTTTAGTATACTATCAAATTAACAGTGGAGGACATTTTGACCACTTGATTAGGTAGACATTAATTTATCATTTATCAAATGCTTTTAATGGAAATTTATCAAAAACTTTATTTGTTGGAAATGTCCATTTTAGGACATAAAAGGATGTTTATATCAAGCATGATATCTGTTTAAAAGTGTATTTTAGAGTAGTAAAAATGTTATACATACCAAGTCTTAATTTCTTCTGGTGTGTATTTTACTTTTGGAATTGGATCTCCACTAAAATTAAAAATACGGACTTAAGTTATCTTTATACAATACATACTATGATTATACTATTCTTATACTATTTAGTGAATGGCATGCTATAAGAAAATAGTTTAGAAACTATACTATCAAATCTTGATATATATCTACAAAACTAGTACTTACTATTTATATTTCATAGCAATTTGATAAAACTGTTCTCTTCTCTTCCGATAAACGGGATCCTTGAAACCAGGATGATCAGCATCCAACTCACTTCCGTACATCAAGACGTTTTGAGCCAAGTCTATCTCCGAAATCTTTTTGGGAAACCAGGTCATTTCATCAAAATCTGGAAAAGATTAAGTTTAATTTATATTTTTATTTATTTATTTATTTGGATTTACAGAGTAGTGATAGCAAACACTTCTTTGTCTTTATTGTAAAAAGAAAAACTCATTGACTCATTCGATGACCGTTTCTGCAGACCATTCTTTAACATACTTCTGACTCAGTGTAAGAGCCAGAAAGAGAAGTTTTACATATGCTATTTTTTAGTGACTAAATTTGCTTATTTTTGCATAACAATTAATGTTTTATTTACTCTTACTAACCACTGTTTGATGATACATTCCAATTTTTATAAAGGGTTTGCAGAAACAAAAATGTTGGGATCCGCTGGTTTCGGTTTTTTTATTAACAAGCAATTATCACTAATGAGCTCGTGTTCAATATCTGATGACATTTCGAATGTTCGAACAAATTAACAATTAGATTAAAAAATATTGGTTATACCTTAAAAAGAGCCAACTTGTGTTAAAAAAAAAATTAAATCATAAAACATTTTTACAAAGAGTGTAAAGAAATACTTTGCACTGAGCGATTCCTGAACCTTCTTCTGTCTTTTATTATGAAAATTTTTAAGTTATTTTGTTTTCTGGTCATTTATTTTTCTGCCCCATACTCTCAGCAGATCTTTTGATCGCAGATTAACGTTCTTCCAAAGCAGCTATACAATAGAAATAGTGAGATGGATACAAAAAGAAGAAAACGGATGGAACAGAAGACGAAATAGTGAAGTATAAAGTTTTATGACTTAAATTTATATGTAACTTGAACTTTAGTTCTATTGTCTGGAATAGTACATTGTTTACCGGGTAGGAAAAGCTTAACATTCCTGGACGACTGTGAAGATTGTGTGACAACACAGAGTCCAGGAATGTGGCTTTTCCTACGAGGTAAACATACTATTTTTCCGCAAATCGTTTAAAATTCGATAGATATTGATTGATTTAAAAAAAACGCGATAATTTTATTCCCAAATAAATGGTGCTTTGAAATTCCTAATAAAATTACTTGGGTTACTATGGAAACGTATTGAGGTTGAATTGTCAAACTTGACGCTTATAAATTTAATTGCTGGTTAACACTAACAACTGTACGGAAATATCATTTCCTTACAGTAAGGAAATGACATTTCCTTACAGTAAGGAAGTCCTCACTTTTTCTTCAAGAAATTTTGACAGGAATGTCAAAATTTCCTGGCGATTTGCGGAAAAATTATTTGCTAACTTTTAATAAAAATGTCATGCACTGGCTTAAAAACCAACTTGTCACTGTCAGTGTTTGGTGTGGAATTTCTGCTTTAACACAATTTTTCATTTTAGCACTATGAGCAGAAACAACTCCATTACAGACCCACACCAGGCAAGCCATATTCATATGGAAAGTCAAGGTATCCAACAACTTCTAGTGGCAGAGAAGAAAGCAGCTGAAAAAATTGCTGATGCTAGAAACCGTAAGTTATTTGGTATTTTTAATAAATATCACAAAAATAGTCTCAATAAACAAAATAAATACGTTTTTAATATCATTCAGTGAATTTATCATTCAAAGAATACTAGAAAAAATAAGATTTCTTGTGTATAGTTTTCATACCATACTTACTTTTTATTTAAATATGGTTTAACTGAAATACCATTTATTTAAAAGTGATTATCAATTCAATAGTGGTCAAAATTAATTACATTACAAGAAAAAATGTCCCATGGTGCATTTATTCTTTGATAAGATGTTTATTTGTTTGTTTGTTTGTTTGTTTATTTAACGGCATAAACCATTTTTCCTTACAAAAATTACAATATACACATATAATTAACATTATAAACTGTAGTCATATATTACAATTTTAAAAAGTATTAATAACATTAATGTCTCAATTTCTTTAAACTATTCTTGAACGAGGACACGGATAAATTAAACAATTCAACACTATCTTGCAAATTATTGGCAGTTCTCAACATCCTTGTGATTGATCACTTTTACCATAATTAGTGTGATGAAACTTTAGTCTAAACAGGTCAGGAGAGCGTGTTCTTCTAGAATTTACATTAAAAACAATTAATTCCAGCAGTTCCGGACAATCAACATAACCATTAAGAATTTTATGCAAAAAACGCAATTCACACTCAGATTCTCTATTTTCTAAAGTTTTCATATTAAGTTAGAAGAGTATAGTTATAATCACAGTTAGTTCTATTAAAACCCATATTTTATACCTGCAAATTCTTAGGAATTTATTTTGAACTCGTTCCAACTGATCAATATACATATTATAATATGGATACCAAATAATATTACAATATTCCAAAATGGACCGAACTAGAGAACAATACAAAATTTTGAAAGTAAATATTGAAAATTCTCGGGAGTTCCTTTGAACAAAGCCGAGCATTCTATAAGCCCGCGATGTAATATTATTAATATGCCTATCAAACATTAGTCTTTGGTCAAATGTAATTCCAAGGTCTCTAATTTGATTTACTTCTGTAATCGATACTCCCTTAAGTATGTATGTTCTATATAACTGATGTTTAGTATTTCTGGAAAACGTAATTTTATAGCACTTTTTTATATTTAAATATAAGGCATTAATGTCACACCAACGAGATAAATTATTTAAGTCAGACTGAAGAGCATCCATATCAGAGGTATTTTTAATTGCTTTAAAGATCTTTATGTCATCAGCAAACAATAGAAATTCACTATTATTAATTACTGATGATATATCATTCACAAACAGATTAAATAGAAGTGGGCCTAAGTGAGAACCTTGAGGTACACCCGAAGTAACATTAATCGCTTCAGAAACAAAATCACCATATTTTACTATTTGTGAACGATCTGTTAAATAACTCGTGATCCAACCCAATAAATTATCTCCAATTCCGTATCCACGAAGTTTAGCAATTAATATTTCGTGATTTACCCTGTCAAATGCTTTGGCAAAATCAGTATATATGGAGTCAACTTGGTTTCCCGATTCCATAGAATCAACAATGAAGTTTGAATACAAAATAAGATTTGTACAAGTAGATTTCTTTTGATAGAAACCATGTTGTTGACCGAGAATTAAATTTTTACAATCGTAGGTTAACATATGGTTAACAAAAAAATCAAGCAACTTTGGTAGTTCAGACTGCAAACAAACAGCCCTGTAATTTTCAACATTATTATTTTGACCAGATTTAAAAATGGGTTTTAAAAAACTCACTTTCCAAAAATCAGGAAATGTAGAAGAAGTTAATGACTTATTGAATAATAACTGAATAGGTTTAGCAAGAGTGAATACACATTTTTTAATAAAATACATTGGTATACCATCTGGACCCGCTGTCAGTTTCCACGGATTATTCTGTATCTTATCAATAATATCCTTAACATTAATTAAATAATTATTAGCATTAACATAATTTTCGTACTTAAAATTAGGAATCTGATTTATTTTTCCTTTATTATAGACAGTCGAAAAGAACCCAGCAAATAAATTCAGAATATCTGAACCATTTTCACTACTTTCATTACCATAACTCATACTCGATGGTAGAACATGAGATTTGCGTTTATTATTAATATATTTCCAGAAAGAACAAGAATTATGAAAAATGCTAGCCTCAATTTCATTCACATGACGCCTTTGTAAATACTTGCTAAGCTCTTTACATTGTTCCCTGAGATCGGAAAAAAGACAATAGTTCTCATCACCACCAGTCATTTTAAATTTTTTATGTGCTTTTTTCTTCTCATAAAGTAAATGTTTTAACTCTGATGTAAACCATTTGAGATATGTAGATGTTTTAAATTTTTTTAATGGTATATTGAAAGATGTTTAGATGTTAACAGTTAAGAAGTTTGTTCCTTCACGTCATTGTTTATTTGAATAAGTTTATCCATATATGCTTTACTCGTCATTTAATGTGTTTGTTAATCTACTGTTGGCGATCTTTGTGAATATCTTATATATGACTGGTAGTAGACATATAATAATGGAAGGGAAAGTGGAAGAAAGAAGAGGTCCCGGAAGAAGAAAATGCTCCTGGTTGAAGAATGTAAAAGACTGGACAGGCATGGACACACATTCGATACTAAGAAGAACTCAAGATAGAGAGTAATTTGCTGTAGTTATACCCAACCTTCAGTAATGGAAAAGTCACCTTAAGAAGAAGAGTAGACATGATCCGGTAGTTTTTGATATCCTCTTTCTTTTAAATTATTATTATATTTGCTGTATTTCAGTGGTCTAATATGTGTCTTCATCTTAGTCAGTTCGTAAATAAAGATGCTTGTCAAGTTTTTTCACCAACGAATGTAAGCAGTTCTACTGTTATGTCATCTATTCTAACTGCTTTACCGCATTTCATCTTTTTGATTGTTGATTCTACTTCCTCCGAAAAAACTTCTGGCACATCTCTTTAATTACTGGTTGCTTCTTAAACTGTTTCAGGGCCTATATATAATTCGCTGTAGAATTTAGATACGACTTCTTCTTCTTCTTATAGTTCCTTCTCCTATCGGAGGTTGGCTATCATCACAGCTATCCGTACCGTTGGCGGCTGCTCTGAAAAGATCTACTGAGATGCAACTATAGCACTCTGTTAGGTTTTTTAGCAAGGAAATTCTTTGTCTTCCATAGGTGTTTTATCCTTGATTTTACCTTGAATTATGAGCTTTAATATTTCATACTTCGCATCTCTGATAATGTGGCCAAAATATTCCAGCTTTTTTGTTTTGATGTGCTTAATGACCTTGCAATCCTTTTGTAACCTTCTTAACACTTCTGCATTTATAGCTCGTTTAATCTATTTTATTTTCAAAATCTTTCTATAGTATCACATCTCAGATGAGTCCAACTTCTTTATATTATCCACTTTTAGTATCCAGCTTTCCTTGGCCTAGCATCTTAAGGCTCTTATCCTCAGCTCCAGAGGAAGGTCTCCATTAAGAAACATTGTTTTCATTTTTATAAATGCTTGTCTTGCAATTTCAACGCGTGTCCTTATTTCTCTACCTTGGTCATTGTTTTCATTTACCCAGGTTTCCAGATATCTCTAACAGTTTTCGATATATTGAAAAAAATCGATTTTCATTTAAATAAAATTTATTACGTTTATTACTTATTATAATTTTATTCAATAGGTAAGGTTAAGAGACTGAAACAAGCCAAAGAAGAAGCAGAAGCTGAAATAGAAAAATACAGAGCCCAAAGAGAAAAATCCTTTCTTCAATATGAAGCTCAATATGCACAAAGTGACCATGTGGAAACCAAAATTCAGCACGATATGGAAATGCAAATGCAAAACTACAAAACGGAAATAGAAAAAAATAAGGATCGGGTAAAATAGTTTATTTTTTATTACTGCTCTGCTCTGTATTGCATTGTAAATCATAAGCTTTTTCTGATTTATCTGACTACTTCTAATTGACAAGACCATTCAGATTTTTGCTTTAATATGTGCCTTCTATAAATTGCAATGCAAAACAGACTATGCTAAAGATGTTAAGAGAGATAAGGAAAATTTAAACGTTGCATTCCACAACATAATTATCTCCTCATCTAACTAAAAATCTATTTTACGTTTGATAGCTCTGTATATTCGCTATACTTATTTCATCCTATCAGGAATCATTAGAGCGACCGGTACAGAAGCTCTAAACCTTAAAATGTTTAACTGTCTTTTCTTTTCTGTCGTATAAATTGTTGATGAATTGTATTTAGTGTTCAGGAAGACATATTTTCCTTTTTTTTTTTTGTTTTGTCAACATACAAAATTCTCCTCGTTCGTTATCTTTAATTATGCTCATTTTTAGGCTATTTTCGCAATTTGATTTGTTCGATTTGATAACAGTTCGTAATTTGATTCCAGGTGCATGGGCACATTCCCTATTGTATAATTTCTATCTACCGATATAAAAAGAAACCTGAAGAAGGGAACAATTTTTAAAATTCACTTATATATTTCTAAACTTCTGTAGATGTTTAGTAATGTCAATACTTCTTTTTTTCAGGTAATTGAAGATCTTATATCCTATGTTACAGACGTTGAACCAATAGTCAATCCCAATTTTTTTATTTTAAAATCGTTTAATAAAATTTAAAAACACTGTATTTTAATAGTATTCTTGTATTTTAATTTATTACTGAATAAACTTACAAAAAAGATATATACAACTATTTTCCGAAAAATGTATGGTAATATAACAAAATATACAGAAAGAACGAACTGACAATTTAGAGCACTGTTTACAACGGTTTCAGCAGAATAAATAGGAGTTTTATAAAATAGTGTAACGACCTTCAATAAACCACCCTTATTTCTGCTACCTAACTATTTTTGCAAAAATCCGAATGCCAGTTCTCTCAAAACCGATTCGCCCTAGTCTATTCCGTATAAAATCGAAACAATTTCAATTAAAATATCTGAAAAGTGTTGTAAAATGTTGTTTTTAAAATTATTCTCGCGTATATTACTTCAATAAACCGCCGTTATGGGAATAATAAACGTTTTATAGTAGTGCGAGAATAAACATTTTCCACAAAAATCAAGTTTATGACCGTAAATTAAGTCGCACTCAAACGTTTCATATTTCAAGGGAGTTTAATATCAAAAGCTTTATGGCGTGTCAAAGTAATTATAGTAATAAAATATTATTAAAACATTAAATAAGCATTTAGCTATAGCATAACTGTTAAAGCATTTCTTGGTTGCTATAATTAATATGTTTTTATGTCTTGTTGGCGATTATTTACTAATTTAAATTATTAATTAGTAACTTCTGGATCGAACAGTGAGAATAAATGGTAAGGAAATGTAAGAAAGGAATGTAAAAGAACGGAAAGAAGTTATATACCCCATAAAAAGAAATTATAATAGTTACCCCATTTCAGCCCTCTTATTATTCACTTATCTGCGGCCCAGCTTTTCAAAAAAACCCTGAGTAGCCGTTCGCAATTTCTGTCTCCATTTTTCAACCCCCTATAGTAATACCCTAGGTGGTAGGCAAAGTAGTCGTTACAACATTGATGAGTTTATAAAGTTTTACCACAATCAAAACAGTTCACTGACATATTTACTAATTACGTAAATAGGAAACTATTCAAAACAATTTTCTATGCTGTTATTTTATCCTTGTGCAAACACAATATCAAAGATCAAAGTATAATATTCGACAAGGCAAGAATTATTTCGAACGCAGTCGTCTGGCACATGCGCATTTGGCGGATCGGGTCCCTGTAATTAATCGCTCATGGCAAAAGGAGATAGATGCATTAAACTTCCAATTGCTTCTACAGCCACCACATCCTAGTGGCATTTCTAGATATGGCTTTCAGTGAAATTAATGTGAATAGGTACTGCAGGAAAATTATTTGGATAAATAAAATCCAAATTTACCGAATGGTTGTGTTTTTTTTTTAGTTAGTTTGTAGACTTATTGATTAAAGTGATCATGGACGTATAAACATTGATGAACACAGCAATAAGATACCTTTAACACACAATGTTTTGAAGCTTCGATAGAATGTGATGCGTCCGCAACATGGACGTATAAACACAGATGGACTCAGTTATTTACATAAAATTGTGAAGTCAAAATTATTTGAATAGGTCACATTCTCAGCACCTTCAGCTGTTGTCACGTTTTGTTCTAAAATTTCTTATTCGCGAGTCGCTGAAAATATTACTCCGTATTTTATACTCTACAGGTGCTATCAAACCAAAATAATAAATTTATTGGTTAAATTAATATATTTAATTGTAATCAAAATATAAAGTGTGTACATAGTGTGCATTATCATTTAATAATAACGTATAATTTAGATATCAATAAATTATTTTATATGTAGAAGCACTGAAAACTATTTATAAATGGCAACGGTTGTTTACATTTCTCTGTCTTATGAATCTACGTCAAACTTCAAATGCTGTTCCATGTTTGTTTACTTTTTAGTAAAAGTTGTTTTTCGATATTTTGGCTGTATTTTGAGTTATATTTGTGAAAAGTGAAATAAAATAAACGAAATATTTACATCCCGATCTCTCATTTTATTTGTAAGTACATAAAATTTACATTATTTAAGATGAGGAAATGAGGAGGCGTGTTTGTTTACATTTTGTCTACTAATTTCATTAACTCATATCTTATTGGATACATTAATGAACATGAATAAACCCAATGGTACGCCTATTAAAATGTAAACAAACACGCTTCCTCATTTCCTCATCTTAAATAATGTAAATTGTATGTACTTACAAATGAAATGAGAGATCGGGATGTAAATATTTCGTTTATTTTATTTCACTTTTCACAAATATCACTCAAAATACAGCCAAAATATCGAAAAATAACTTTTTCCTCATTTACTGTAAAAAGTAAACAAACATGGAACAGCATTTGAAGTTTGACGTAGATCCATAAGACAGAGAAATGTAAACAACCGTTGCCATTTATAAATAGTTTTCAGTACTTCTACATATAAAATAATTGATTGATATCTATTATACGCTATTATTAAATGATAATGCACACTATGTGCACACTTGATATTTTGATTACAATTAAATATATTAATATAACCAATAAATTATTATTTTGGTTTGATAGCACCTGTAGAGTATAAAATACGGAGTAATATTTTCAGCGACTCGCGAATAAGAAATTTTAAAACAAAACGTGACAACAGTTGAAGGTGCTGAGAATGTGACCTATTCAAATAATTTTGACTTCACAATTTTATGTAAATAACTGAGTCCATCTGTGTTTATACGTCCATGAAAGTGATATTTAAGCACTCTATCAATGGCTAAAAAAGTTCCTATTGAAAAATAATAAAAAAAGGGCTTTAGTACAAACGTTAAACAAACAAGGACTTGCTAAAAGAAAAAACTTTAAACAGTCTTATTACGACTTTTAAACGTTAAAACATCCAGTACATATAATTCAAACACTCAGATTTGTTTTAAGTTCATATGAATACGTTTAACAGTGAAAGCAACTTACCGAAACTGGCTGTGGCGGATAGCGGCGTTGGAAGTGGAAAATCATTTTCGCTCTCTTCAGTTCCGTATTTTCCTATTACCATAGTCACCACTTCCCGTTTCAAAAGTATACTCAGCTAAAATTGGGTTTCAAGTCAGATTTAAAATAAAAGTTTTACATTTTTAAAAGTTTGCAATGAACGTTGACAGACAGTGAGACTGAAGTCTATTATACATCATATATGTTTTAGTTTAGCATTAAACGATGTGGTATCGTCTTTATACGCAATTTCCAAACCTTAGCTACTACTGATGTTTTTATTTATGATGTAATTTTGAAGTTTGGTAAAACTGGATACTCCCCGTTTCAGTAGTCTTATGCAATACCATGTACCTTATTTCACCGATACTGTCTAATAATTCACTATTATAATATCGAGGTATGAATTTTATGCTTAACTGGATCCAAAAGACCCATCAGTAATAAATACGCGACTATGTGTCCACTAACAAAAAAAAACAAATTAATTCTGTAAAAAATATACATATACAAACGCGATATTCAAAACGACAACGTTTTCTTTGTCTGTCGGCAAATTTGGAATTAACGTCTTCTCTAACCATTTTTCATATACATCCCCGTCTATTCCGTCCCCAGTAATCAGGAAACCCGTTTCCCTTCCAGCGTAAAGAAGAACAAACCGAGCACCACTTTGGGTTGGAGCTTTCAGTCCAGTAGAGAGTCCCACGAGAGCGGAGTGGGTCTTCTACTCAGCAAACAAGCCAAAAAAAGCCTCATTTCATGGAAACCAATCAATGATAGAATTATGATTGCCAGATTTTATACCAGATACCGCAAGATAACAGTGATTCAGTGCTATGCTCCCACGAACACATCTCTCCACGAAGATAAAGACATATTCTACGAACAACTAGAACAAACGACCCAACAAGTAAACCAAGGCGATATACTAATAGTGATGGGCGATATGAACGCTAAAGTTGGAGAAGACAATATTAACTTAGAAACCGTAATGGGCAAACATGGCCTGGGAGTGATGAATGAAAACGGAGAGCGCTTTACAAATTTTTGCTCCAATCATAGCTTAGTTATTGGTGGAACCATCTTCCCACATAAAAATATTCACAAGGTTACATGGACTGCACCAGGTCATATAAGAGAAAATCAAATAGACCACATCGCCATATCAAAAAGATGAAGATCATCTCTCCTTGATGTACGTAACAAAAGAGGAGCAGACATCGCAAGCGACCATCATCTTGTAATCGGTACCATTAAAATCAAAATGGCAAAAAACAAAATCACACGAAACACCAAACGACCAACATACAATCTAGACAAATTAAAAACTGCTACAGGAAGACACATGTTTAGGGAGGAACTTCAACTCAAAAGAAGAGAACGTGAAGTAAATAGCTGGGAAGATCTGGCAAATGTTTTGACAGAAATAGCTGAAGATAAACTGGGTAAAAAAGAGAAACATAGAAAAGAATGGATATCAGATGAAACTTGGAATCTTATCGAAGAAAGAAAACAGCAAAAAAAAGATATTTTGCAAGCAAGAACTGTAGAAGAAAGAGCGAACCGACAACAAGAATATGAAACAATAAATAAAGCAGTTAAAAGAAATGCAAGAAGAGACAAAAGAAGATGGGCTGAAGAACTGGCAAAACAAGCCGAAACAGCTGCACAACACAATAGAACTAGAGAGCTATACCAAATTACTAGACGTCTAACAAAAAGTGGGCCCAACTGTTCAAACGTCGTAAGATCCAAGACAGGAGAACTACTTACTACAACAAATGACCAAATAGAGAGATGGAAAGAGCATTTTCAGGAGATGCTAGGCACGCCCAGGGATAACGCAGATGAAATTGTCGAAAATCCACAGAATATAGACTTGCGTATATCTTGCGACGCCCCTTCCAAAACAGAGATAATAACAGCTATCAAATCTCTGAAAAATAACAAGTCTCCGGGAATCGATAACATTGCTGCCGAAATACTTAAAACTGATCCGCATCTAACTGCTGAACTTTTGCTCCCCATAATTCGAGAGGTGTGGGAAACAAACCGCATTCCAGCGGGCTGGAAAAAAGGCATCATTACTAAGCTTCCAAAAAAGGGCAACCTCACACTATGCAAAAATTGGAGAGGAATAACCTTGCTTACCGCCATAAATAAAATCTTCACGACCATCATACTTAAAAGATTAACAAACAAGGTTGAATTTCGAGCTAATCAAGTAGGCTTTAGACCAGAATCCTCCTGCATAGACCACATTAATACTGTGAGGCTAATAATGGAACAATCGGTTGAATGGAACGCACCCCTATACATGGTTTTTGTTGATTTCGAGCGTGCTTTTGACAGCTTATCTCATGATGCGATATGGAAAATTTTAGAGCTAAGAAACATCCCGCATAAAATAATTTCCATTATAAAGTTACTGTACACTGAAGCGAAATGCAGCGTGACACACAATGGGATCAACAGTGACGAATTTGACGTACTTACTGGAGTCAGACAGGGATGCGTGCTTTCTCCGTTTCTTTTTAACATAGCTCTAGACTATGTTCTCTCCAAACTAGACTCTGACACAAGAGGGATACAATGGACGCTAACCACACGCCTAAGCGATCTAGAATACGCCGACGATATCTGCCTGTTAGGACAAAGGTTCCAAGATGTGGCTGACCAATTGGAAACACTTTCCACTGAAGCCAATAAAATAGGTTTGAAAATCAATATTGGTAAAACCAAATCCATGAGAATAAATGCAAGAAACAACACGCTATTCACCATTAATAACATGCAGATTGAAAATGTGGAAAACTTTACGTATCTTGGAAGTGTCATAACAGAAAGCGGAGGTACAGAAGACGATATTCGTATGAGGATACGAAAAGCGCAACAAGCTTTCAGCATGCTCAACCCTGTTTGGAGGTCTGGAGAATACACTACGAGGACAAAGATCCGCATATTCCAGTCAAATGTCATGTCTGTACTACTTTACGGATGTGAAACCTGGAAAGCGACAAAAACCCTTACAGACAAACTGCAGGTCTTTGTTAATAAATGTCTACGAAGAATTGTTCGTATTTTCTGGCCTAACATCATCAGAAACGAAGATTTACTACACCTGACCAAACAAAAGAGGGTAGTAAATGAAATAAAGTCCAGAAAGTGGGGTTGGATCGGTCACACACTCCGAAAAAATAACTCCAGTATTGCAAAGACTGCCCTAGAGTGGAATCCCCAAGGAAAACGAAAAAAAGGTCGCCCAGTACAAACTTGGAGAAGATCCATCATGGACGAGATAAGAAAACAAGGAAAGTCTTGGAATGAGGTGAAGGCCTTAGCGCAAAATAGAACCCGATGGCGCGTTTTCACTGAAGCTCTATGCTCCACTTAGGAGTTCAAGAACCTTATATATATATATATATATATATATATATATATATATATATATATATATATATATATATATATATAGAGAGAGAGAGAGAGAGAGCCCTTTTATGAAGGCATCATTAGGTTTACATTATCCTTCTTCCTCAATGTTTTTATTTGTCTAAAGTACTTGTGTATCCAGAATATGATATTTTCTTTCGAAGAAAAAGATGTGCCATATAATCCACCAACAAGGACAGAAAAATTGCTATCCCTAAGTGTTTTGAAAATTAATTATGTCTTTTTTAATTTAAGTTTAGTTATGTCAAATAATCAACAACTTTTTTAAATAAATATTTGCTTTTTTTTATTAGTTTATTGCGATTTCTTTAAGGTAGAAGCTACGTAAGAGAAATCTGTCGGTAGTAGCTAAGGGTTAAGATGAATACAAACTAAAGAACCAGAAACATTTGGATTTTAAAAGAAAAATAATAATATTCTTTAAAACAAAATATTTACTACTAACTTTTCCAAATAATATCATTTTTTTTTGGTTTGAGTTGATCAATATCAATCTTATTTTAATTAGATATCCTTAAAGTAAACATAGCAATTTCTTTATATTACCTGTTCTAACTTTTTTGGTTCGCTTTCGACGTCAACAATGAAATCGGCTTGGTTTTCATTTGTTTCAGACGGTCTTGATTCTATTCGTTGAACGTTAATTCCCATGTCTTGAAAAGCCTGGAGAGCTCTCACTAAACCGCCCACTTGATTTTTTAAACTGAATATTATCGATACCTTTTCCTTTTCTTCCGGTTTCGTATGCTCCTCATTGGAAGATGTCTAAAATATATTGTGAGAGAATAGAGAGAACATAAAAATAAAATACGGTTTCAAAAACTACAACAGATAAATATAACATAAATATTAGGGGTAATTTATAAGAAATATTCAAAATTACGATAAAAATCATCTAAATTTGTGAGATAAAACGATAAGAAAACAAAATAAGATAGGAATAAAGCGAGATATGGAAAGAAGAACCAGAGAAAAAAAGCAAGCTCTGAAGATACAAGGCGGAGGGCTGATAAAATATGCTGAACAGAGAAAAAAAGAAAATTGGAAGAAAATCTCCAAAGCAGCGATATAAAAAAGGGTATAGATATCTTCGCAATTTAAGAGAAGGATACAAACCATGAACAAAGCTATGCAGAAATTAAGAAGAGCAAATAACCAGTGATCTAAAAGAAGTAAAATCAGTCTGGAAAACCTATTTCTAAACTCTTCTAGAGACTCGACAAAATGAAGAGTATATGAACATGCATCACATTGAGGGAATTGTACATCACATCCAGATATTATATGGACTATATAAATTAGAAGGCAACCACCGAGCAGGACAAATGCATATGCTTATAAACAAGATTTGGAATAATTACAAGATCCCTAGCGACTGAAAAAAAGGAATTATGTTTACAATGTATAAAAAAAGGGATCAAATTGTTGGGGATCATCAAATCGGTTTCGGACAAAGAAGACTTTTTAATATTCAAAAGATTGAGCAAGGAGACGCGCTGGTGCCGACATTCTTCAACCTGACTCTGGTATATGTGATAAGACAGCTGACTATAGAAAGAGATAATCTCCTAATAAATAAATCAATCAAAGAAAATCATTCAGAACAAAAAATTCAATTAAATATAATAAAACTGATCGAATAATTAAAAAGGAAATAAAAGAAGCTAAGGAGAGAATGTTACATGAGCAGTGCCAAGAACTAGAAGAAATTGAGAAAAATATGACTTTTTAACATGCATAAAAGAATTAGAACATTAACAGGAATGAGAAAAACACTTCAAACTAATCAACTAAGAGATGAAAGTGGTGCACTTATAACAGATATAAACCAAAAAATGCAGAGATGGACACAATATATAGCACAACGTTTTGAAGACAAAGAGAGAACAGAAGCACCAAAAGAATTTAAGGATGATATTGGGCCTGACATTATACGAGAAGAAATTGAACATGCAATGAAACAAGCTAAAGGTGGTAAATCTCCTGGGCCTGATGAAGTTCCTATCGAATTACTCAAAATTGTGAATACTGAATATATTAATCTTCTTTTGGATCTATTCAATACCATATACAATAGAACAGGTATAATACCTAAAGAATGGCTCCAATCAACATTCATACTGCTTCCCAAAAAAGCCAATGCAAAGGAGTGCAATGAACATCGCACCATAGCCTTAATGAGTCATGTCTTGAAATTGGTTTTAAAAGTAATTCACAATATAATACATAAGAAATTAGATGAAGGCATAAGTAATACACAAATGGGATTTAGGAAAGGACTGGGAACACGAGATGCACTGTTTGCAATAAGTGTTCTTTCGCAGAGATGCTTAGATATTAATTAGGAAACATATGCCTGTTTCATTGATTTTGAGAAGGCATTTGACAGAGTGCAGCATAATCGGGTTAAAGAAATTTTATTAAATAAAAACATAGACAGTAGAGACATTAGAATCATATGTAACCTCTATTGGAACTAAACAGCAAAAAAGTTGAAAATGAACTGACCGAGGATATCCATATTCGCCGTGGGGTCCGCCAAGGGTGTATTTTATCACCCTTGTTATTCAATTTATACAGTGAAGCCATCTCAGCATTAGCGCTTGCCGAGATCAGTGAGGGCCTTATAATAAACGGTGAGCCACTTAATAACATAAGATATGCTGACGACACCGTCCTGCTGGCAGGAACACTAGAAGAACTGCAATACCTTACTGAACAACTAAATATATATTGCAACGATTATGGACTAAAAATAAATTTGAAGAAAACCAACTTCATGATATTTACAAAAGCACAAAACATCAAAGTTAAGCTAGTACTAGGTAATACAAAAATTGAACAAATATTTTCGTACAAATACCTTGGAGCATGGATCACAGAAGATACTGATCAGACAAAAGAAATAAGATGCCGCATTAAAATTGCACGGTCAACTTTTAATAGAATGAGAGAACTTTTTTGTAATCGCGATATTAATATATCGCTCTGGATAAGAATGCTTCGATGTTATATTTTCTTTACCCTTTTGTATGGGGTTGAAGCCTGGATACTTAAAAAATCCAACATTAAAAGCCTAGAAGCATTCGAAATGTGGTATTACCGACGTATTTAGAAAATATCATGGATGGATCACAAAACAAACGAATAAGTTCTCGAACAACTAAGAAAACTCTGCGAAGTTTTAAATTCCATAAAAAGCAGGAAATTAGAATACTTGGGGCACATCATGAGAGGTGAAAAATATGAACTACTAAGTAATATAATGCAGGGTAAAATTAACGGTCAAAGAAGCGTAGGAAGACGTAAAATCTCGTGGTACGCAATCTCCGTGAATCGTTTGGATGCAGTTCAATTGAACTATTCAGGCACGTAACCAACAAATTTATAATTGCCAGAATGATCTCCAATCTCCGATATTAGTGGAACTTGAAGAAGAAGAAGAAATAAATCAATACAGATTGCCGCCTATGCCGTTGACATTAGCATTATATTTCACAGAACAGAAGAGGCAGGAGAAATATATTCACGATTAAAAGCAGAAGCAAAAGAGACCTGACTAAAAATGAATATTCAAAAGCCAAAAATGCTATTACATGCAACAGCTAGGGAAAACAAACGTACATTTGAATTAGAGGACGATATTGAGACAGTAGAAAGTTTCACATATTCGGGAGTTGTATTAAGCACGGATGAAATAGAAGAACGAAAACATCAAAGAAGAATAGTAAAGAGACAGCAAGCTTACTTTGATGTCCCTTGACACTCGGGCTCATATCATATACGGACTATGACAAAGTACGAGTGGAAAATGCCCTCCGGAAACTTCTTGAGGAAGGGTGGTCCTTACGTCACGCTACCGAAGAATAAAAAATCCCCTATGGAACATTTAATAACTGATTTAATGGCCAAAATTTAAAGAAAAAGGTGAGCAGACTGTATTTTCCTTGAACGAAGAAAAAATATTATACAGTGTGCTGCAATATGCGAAGCGTGAGGACTTGCGAGATATAAAATATTTAGCCAAAAGTGTTTTGGATGTCCAGATTCGACAAGTGCTTCTTTTCAAAAACAATTTACTTGGAAGGGTATATTTACTACTGAGACGGCGTAAAAGAGAAATTACCTAAAAAGTGGAGACCAATATTAAAAGACCTAGAGCTAATATTTCAAAAGAAACTTTAGTTGCCAACATTTTATTGAAATTTACAATTTCACAAATAATGTATACCTTAGCACAGAGGTCATATCGTATCATGTCATATCATACTAACAAACTTTGAACTATGAGCTTACAATACAATTTAATCTAGGCCGTTATTGCAACACTTGGCAAGTTCAATTATATACGGTGAAACTATAAAAGGTTAAGTAGTTAAAAATATTGTGAGATTACAAATTAAGGCATTAATTTGTGATTGAACAATTTATAAAGCAGAAACAATGTGATTACAATGGACCAACAATGATTAATTTGCTGTACTGACAGATCCTGTTTTGTAGGTTCTCGATATAATTGCACCCATCATGGATGAATAGATTCACAGACATTTACGGATTGGTTTACTTTGACCTTTTTATCGCTTGTAAAACGTCTTCTTCTTCTTCAGATGCAAATCCACTAATGGATGTTAGCGATCACATTTTCCATTAATTCTCTATTTCTTGCAATATGTATCAGAGATTGTATGTCGTTAATCCCTGTCCATTGCCTTATGTTTCGGAGCCAGGACATTTTCCTGCGTCCCATTCCTCTCTTGCCTTCAATTTTACCCTCGATTATAAGTTGGAGGAACTGGTATTTTTCATTTCGCATGATGTGACCTAGATACGCCGTTTTCCTTTTCTTGATGGTTTCGAAAAGTTGGCGTTCTTGGTTTATTCTTTTAAGGACATCTATATTTGTGATTTTCGCTGTCCATGGTATTTTTAGGATACGGCGATAAAGCCACATTTCGAAAGCTTCCAATCTGTTTATATCCCTCGTTTTGAGTGTCCAGCCCTCTACGCCATATAGCAGCACTGACCATACGTAGCACTTAGTAAACCTTAGTCTCAGTTGAAGATCGAACTCAGAACAAGTCAGTACCTTCTTGAATTTTACGAAAGCTTGTCGAGCTTGCTCAATGCGACATTTTACTTCCCTGTCCGATGCCCAGTCTTCAAAAAGCCACGATCCCAGGTATTTAAATTTACTCACTCTTTCTATGGATTTACTATTCAGTGTTATGGTGGAGTTTTCAAGTGCATCCAAGTTTCTGGAGATGATCATGAATTTGGTCTTTTTGGTATTAATCTCTAGTCCCATTCGCTCACTGTATTCTCCGATGATAGTGACAAGTTGTTGAAGATCGACTATGTTGTCACAAATTAAGACACCATCATCAGCATATCGTATGTTGTTGATCAATACTCCATTCACCTTGATTCCCATCTCTGCATCCTCCAAAGACTCTTGAAATATGGCTTCCGAATAAATGTTAAATAAAAGAGGGGAAAGCACACATCCCTGTCGAACGCCTCTTTTTATATGTATGGGCTTGGATATAGAATTGTCTATTTTTAGCTGTGCCGTTTGATGCCAGTACAAGTTTTCAATGCATCTTATGTCTTTTTGGTCTATATCAACTTTCTTGAGAATCTGCATTAACTTATGGTGTTGGACACGTTCAAACGCTTTTTGGTAATCTAAAAAGCATAGGAACACATCCTTCCTCTGATCGTAACAATTTTGGACCAGTACCTGTGTTGCTACTATTGCTTCTCGTATTCCTAAACCTTGCCTAAACCCTAACTGGGAATCACTGATGTCCCATTCACATTTTTTGTATAATCTTTGATGTAGTATTTTTAAGAATATCTTTAAAGTGTCTAGAACCTAGAATAAGTGTCTAAAAACGTCTAGAAGGACGGAAAAATTATCAAAGCAGATAACCTTTCCTCGCATTTTACTGATGAGGTGATATCTTTATGCGAACAAAACAATGTGGGCTTTATATTTTTGGTCAAAAACTAAACACATTTGACCCAACCACTTGATGTCGGGTTTTTCCGTCCTTTTCATATGGCTTGGAGGGAAAGTCTTAGTGATTGTAAAAAGAAATCTCCTAAAGCAGAAAAGATATTCAGCTGCACCATCCAGGCGAAATATTATGCGAACCAGACTAAATTTCGAGCCAGGAAAAAGTGTTATAGCTCAGCAACCTGCTGAAACTGAAAGCAACAGTAAAGGAGAACCACCAAGTAAAAACGAAACAGAAAGTGAAACGTCTAACTTGGATGAGTCTGACAACAATGATGGGGTGGAAGAAGAGTGAAGAAGGAAAATGCAATACTATCGCTACGCTGCTAAAATTCAAAATAAAAAAGACCTAAACATTTTATTAAATAAATCTATGGATGAAGTAAAGAAGGCCTTCAAACTGGTCGAACATGATAAATTTTCAGTTGAAGTGAGTGATATTATTACCATTTTGCCCTAATCCTTAATTCCTTAATTCAACAAAAACAGCTTGTATGTTTAAAAAAACAGGCTGATGTATTGGAAATGCAAAACTTAATATACATATATTCATAAATTCATGTTTAAAATGATGTTTTTTGGTGTTCTACATTGCAGTACTAGCCCAAAAAGTTTACTTTTCATGACATGTTCATACAATTACAATTTTTAGAAATAGTACATTGTTTACCGGGTAGGAAAAGCTTAACATTCCTGGACGACTGTGAAGATTGCTAAGTCGAGGCGCAAGCCGAGACTTAGCAACACAGAGTCCAGGTATGTGGCTTTTCCTACGAGGTAAACATACTATTTTTCCGCAAATCGTTTAAAATTCGACAGATATTGATTGATTTAAAAAAAAACGCGATAATTTTATTCCCAAATAAATGGTGCTTTGAAATTCCTAATAAAATTACTTGGGTTACTATGGAAACGTATTGAGGTTGAATTGTCAAACTTGACGCTTATAAATTTAATTGCTGGTGTTCTCGAAAGTAAAATGATAAGTGATGATGAAATTTCCATTCCTGGGACTCCTCCAGAGCTGGTTGAGGCAGTGAATACTGCTTCATTAGAATTATTGCCAAAGAAATCAAGAGAAAAGTACGAAAATGCATACAGACGTTTTATGGATTATCGCATGAGTAAAAATACGAGTTATTTCTCAGAAAATGTTGTAATAGCATACAAATTACTGTAAATATAACAAATTGATCTTAAAAATGTATTCAGCAATGACTTGATGTTTTCAAAATATAAATTAATTCCTTATAAGCAATGTGTTTTCTATCATTTATGTAGAACACTAACAACTGTACGGAAATATCATTTCCTTACAGTAAGGAAATGACATTTTCTTACAGTAAGGAAATGACATTTTCTTACAGTAAGGAAGTCCTGACTTTTTCTTCAAGAAATTTTGACAGGAATGTCAAAATTTCCTGGCGATTTGCGGAAAATATTAGTTTTTAATAGATATGACTCTTTGGAGGCTTTTGAGGAACATTCGTGAATGGACTTAGATACCAAATGCAGGACAATGATTCCATATTGCAGAAGATCGAGAAGCCTTCGCAATGGTGATCGCCAACGTCGAATAATTCTGATATGGCACGCGAAGAAGAAGAGGGTGGCTCTTTGGTTCCGTTTTTTTATTATTATTGATAACTGTTGTTTGTGAAACCTAATTTAAAGAGTATTAGCATATTTGTGTTTTTTGAGTGAATAAAATAAATCTGTAGACAAGCAAATTGTGATTTAAATTTTTTTGATATTTTTTTAGAACGCTTACATTTGTTGAAAACTATTTGTAACCTGAGGTGAACATGATCGGCATGTATTACATATTACACTATTTTTATTCACTTACAAAGGGTTGATCAATTTCGCCCTATTCAGGGTATGAAATTGTTCCTCCAATTGTTTGCATTTTTTAGTCAAAATATTAATCAAAAAAATATCTTTTATGGAGAAATATTTAATATAGATCTTGTTGAATCATATCAGCACAAACATGTAGTGAATTTTACAATTTACTATCATATTTTTGAATGATTAATTTAAGGATGAACAATTTTACCGCATTTTACGGTAAATGTAAAATATGTTAACTAGAAATTTCCATCGTTAAGAATTATATCGATACCTGTGTTTTAAGAGTAATGGGACTATCCTCTTTGTAGCTCCAATCTTCTCCACTTCTGTACAACCACAAGCCAAGTAGCGGTTTTCCCGAACTCATTTTATGAAAATTTTTAAACACTTTTTGCCCGCTCCTGAAACTCCTGGTTTCGGGAGTTGCGACACGGAACTTTGCAAGGAACTCTTCGTTCGCTGGATTTATAGATGGTCTTAGGCGGCCGATACCAGGGGCGGGTCTAATTTATTGGATACAAGATAGTTAAAAAATACATTAATATCACGACAGATAAAAATTTTCCAGGACTAGGCAATATACCAAAAACTTATTTTTTGTAAAAGGAGATTTATGTAAAATTATTTAAAAAGATTACTTTATTGAACCATCATTAATGAAACATAAAAGTAATTAGTTGCTCCTTATTTAAACCAAAAGGGTAAAATATTGTTCTAAAGCTATTTTCTTTTGGCATTTTAAAGTAATTACTATTTAAATGGGAATGAGCTACAACTAAAGGTTATACAAATTTTGTTTTTTCGGTACTTGGTGAAAAATTCCTCTAGCAATTTAATTTTATCTGACTTATTTATATTAACAATTCAGACATACATTATACATTTTAAAGTAGACGACTTTAAAGTGATATTGCCAATATTGTTGAGTTGCGTTCCTGGGACGACTTTACTTGTATTATAAGATAGTTCATTCGATTACGTGAAATCAACTTCAACTTGAGAATATCCGTCAGAAAAAATCATAACATAAAACATAAACAATATGTTAAAAAACATAAATGATGTATCCTCTATATGTTACTGGCTTATTAATACTGGTATTTTCCATTTCTTCTTAACTAACTAACTAACTTCCTCTATTAATATGGGTAACCAGATCGTACATTCGGTCGAGTAATTTGTGATACAATTGGTTTTATTTAGCATAATTAGAGCCGCTTCTTTGATTTTTCTCTTTTTGCCGTTCGTTTCTTTTAGGACTATATTTGAAACAATCCATTGAACCCTATCTTCATTATCCCATGCTTGTTTACATATTTCTTCACGTTTTGCATGTGATAAAAAGGTCACAGTAAACCAATCCGTGAATGTCTGTGAATCTATCCATCCATGATGGGTGCAATTATATCGAGAACCTACAGAACAGCATCTGTCAGTACAGCAAATTGATTCTTTTTTGGACCATTTTCAGTCGATTATTACCACATTTTTTCTGCTTTATAAATTATATATGGTGTTAACAGCAATCCTTAAGCCGAAGCACACATCATTATGGTCGTTACTACTTTAGTAGAATTAAAAACCCATTCGGAATGTTTGGTGCCGCGTTAAAATATCATTTTATTATTTCCGAGGTTATCTTGTACATGGGTCTAGTCTTAATTAAATTATGTTATTTGGTGTAATATTTTCTAATTCTCTACGCAGATTGTTTTTGAAAAGAAGCACTTGTCGACTCTGGACATCCAAAACACTTTTGGCTAAATATTTTATATCTCGCAAGTTAAGAAGACATCCCCACGAGCCGCATATTGCAGTAGACTGTATAATGGTTTTTTCTTCGTTCGCAAAAAATACAGTCTGTCCACCATTTTTTCTTAAATTTCGGCCATTATAGCAGTTATTAAATGTTTCATAGGGAATTTTATATTCTTCGGCAGCGCGACGTAATGACCATCCTTCCTCAAGAACTTTCTGGAGGTCATTTTCCACTCTTACTTTATCGTGGTCCTTATAATGATATGAGCACGAATGTCAAGGGACATCAAAGTAAGCTTTGTATCCCTTTACTATTATTCTTTTACTTTCTGGTTCTTCTCTTTCATCCGTGCTTAATGCAATTCCCAAATATGTGAAATTTTCTACTGTCTCAATATTGTCCTCTAATTCAACTGTACCTTTGTTGCCCCTAGATCTTTTCTGTGTTAGCATTTTTGGCTTTTGAGTATTCATTTTTAGTCAGGTCTCTTTTGCTTCTGCTTTTAATTGTGAATATATTTATCCCGCCTCTTCTGTTCTGTGAAATATAATGCTAATGTCAACGGCATAGGCGGCAATCTGTATTGATTTATTTCTTCTTCTTCTTCAAGTTCCACTCCTATCGGAGATTGGAGATCATTCTGGCAATTATAATTTTGTTGGTTACACGCCTGAATAGTTCAATTGAACTGCATCCAAACGATTCACGGAGGTTGCGTACCACGATATTTTACGTCTTCCTACGCTTCTTCTATCTTTGGTTTTACCCTGCATTATATTCCTTAGTAGTTCATATTTCTCACCTCTAATGATGTGCCCAAGTATTCCAATTTCCTAATTTTATGGAATTTAAAACTTCGCATTGATTTCCTAGTTGTTTGAGAACTTATTCGTTTGTTTTGCAACCCATCCATGATATTTTCAAAATACGTCGGTAACACTACATTTCGAATTCTTCTAGGTTTTTAATGTTGGATTTTTTGTGTCCAAGCTTCAACCCCATACAAAAGGGTAGAGAAAATATAAGTTTTTCAAAGAAATCAAATTTTCTATTTTTAATATAAGATTGATGTTCACCTATTCTAACATTTAATGGCCTTGATGTTTCACCCAAATAAAACTGATTGCATTCAAAAGTTATTTTATAAATGCAATTCTTTGTCCTTTCTTCTTCATTGTTAGGTATGGTTTTAGACAAAATAGATCTCAATGTGATTGTTGTTTTGAATTTTGTTGAAATGTTAAATTTATTTCCTATCCTTTTAAGTTTTTCTGATAATCCTTTTATGTATGATATTGTTATGTTCCTTGTATTATTCCTTGTGTATGCTGTACGGTCCCGTTCTAAGTTGTTCTGTTCTATTCGGTTAATTTTTGAAAATTCCTTATTTATAAACGATAAAGAATAATCATTTTTTAATAAAACAGATGTTAACAAATGTTTTTACTCCAAGAAGGAATTTTCGTTAGAACAAGTAATTTTGGCTCTATCGTATCGTAAGGATTTAATGATTTCCTTTTTAATATTAATTTTGTGGTTTGATTTGAAATTTAGATATCTATTGGTGTGTGTAGGTTTTCTATAAGCTTGTGTCTCATATCTAGTATCGTTCTTAGAGATTAAAACATCCAGGAAAGGTAGTGTGTTATTTTCTATCTATAGTAGGTATATCTATGGTAAATGTTATTTTCTCTTCTTTATCGTTTATATCATTAAGGAATATGTCTAACAACTCTGATCCATGAGGCCATATTGAGAATACATCATCTTCATATCTCCACCATACTGTGGATTTTAAATTTTGTTTAAAAATAATTTTTGTTTCAAAATCTTCCATAAATATATCGGCTAATAATGGAGATAAACTAGAGCTCATTGCTAGACCAAAATTTTGTTTATAGAATTCATTATTTAGTTGAAAATATGTATTATCAGTACATAATGTTAATAACTCCATTATAGCTGATATGTTTAGTCTTGTTCTAGTTGCCAATGTATCATTACTCTCTAATTTTGTCTTGACTATATTTAAAGTCTTATCTAATGGCACATTCGTAAATAAACTATTTATGTCAAAACTTACCAAAGTATTATTTGAATTAAATTCAATATTTGATAATTTATTTAAAAAATGTTGTGTATTTTTTATAAATGTGTCATTTTTATTTGCAAATGGTTGTATAATATTTAATAAAAATTTTGATAATTCACTACAAGGAGAATTCATGGTACTACAAATGGAACTAATTGGTATATTCGTTTTATTAACTTTATTTTACTGTAATGAGGTGTAATTAATCTTGTCTGATAACTTGTTAAACAATCTTTAAATTTGAATAAAGTTCTATATATTCTTTTTTCCAAAAGCTTTTTGGATCCTTTGTTAATTTTGTATGAAGTCTGTTTATTATTAGATTTTTAATTTTGTTTTCATATTAGGATGATTATGGAGTCGTCATTTTTTTAAATATATGATGTATCTGAATTTTTACAATTTATTTTAAAAATTTATATACTACATTAATCATTCCAAAAGGAATAATTATTAAAAAGAAATCAGTAATCTCATGAGAGAAAAAAAGCTAAGGAAAAGATTGCAGCAAACTGTGGCTCTACAAGATAAAACACGTTTAAATCATGCCTCTCAACAATGTAAAAGCGAGATACAAACTATAAAAAACAAAACCTCTTAAAATTGTTATGAAACTATTTCCTTGTGGCATATTATTGCAAGAAATAGAATATAGAGAGGAGTATCTGGTTCATACAAAAGAACGAATAACCCCAACAATGCCTAAGAGCAGTTGCAACAGAGATAAACGTAAATATAAACCCAAAAAAGCTAATTAAAAAAGTGTTGCCAACTTACATTTCTATTAAAAAAACACCCTTTATTAAGAACAACAAGAGCTAAAAGCAAAAGCACTTAGACAGTGGTATATACAAACTTGTATGTGGTGGCTGTCCCAAAATTTACATCGGTCAAACTAGTAGAACCTTAACCAAATGCACAGCAGAACACAAAAGGGCTTTTAATAATAGAAAAACATATTCTACTTACTTAATTCACCTTCTAGAACACTATCATTCTTTTAATGATCAATTTCAAATTCTCCATATTTAAAATAAAGTCATTAAGCTACCTGTAATAGAATCTATGGAATTATTAAAATAAAAAATATATAACTCTGAATGACCAACTTGAGACAAACAGCTCTCTCCTCTTCAACTTATTCAGTTAAAAACTATAACGTGTAGATGATAGTAAAAATACATAACTTGAGCAATGCATTCTGCTGAAACAGGTGTAATGAAAATAAATTGTAATAAATTTTCTGTAGGTGTAGAAAAAACAAGTTTTCAGTATTTTATTATTAAATATTTTCTCGTTTTGATAAGGTAAAATTGATAAGGTAAAGTTGATAAGGTAAAATTTATACAATGATTATTTTTTATTTTTTAGAAATTATTAATTAAATGGTACTTAAATTTAGAAAAATTGCAAAAATCATACAGATTTTATAATAACTTTTGCCTGTGACAAATGATATCTCACCAAATCAATAATAGGTGTATACGCATAAAAAAAGTTCAAATAAAAAAATATT